CAACACCGTTTCGGCGGATCGAGCCACCCACGAGTCGAATCTCGAGAGAGAGAGAGAGTGGGACGCACCGGTGCCGTCAAAGTACTCGTACAGGTCCTCGTCGGTGATGCACACGGGCAGGCTCAGGTAGGCGGCGATGCGGGCGTCCGATTCGAACAGGGTCGGGCCGACTCTCAACTTGGTCGCCTGCACCTCGTCGTACGACAGGTCGGACGCGTGCTGCATGTCGCGAAACAGGCCGATGGCGGTGCGCAGGAAGAACCTGGCCGTGACCGGGTGCACCTCGGCGAGCATGAGCATCTGGACGAACGCGACGAGCGTCTGGAGGTTGCGCGCGCTCGGGACCTGGAGAATGTCCATCTTGGAGCACAGGTCGGTCGCGCGCTTGACGATGGCGCGCCACGCGTTCTCGCGCCGGACACCGGCCGACAGGACGAGGTCGAGCGACGCGCGGCCGTTCTCGATGTCGGGGCCGGCGATGCCGAGCAGGGCGCTGTGCGGCGAGGCGCGCGCTCCGAGCGACGTGAGGATGCCGACGACGACCTGCACAGGTAGGTCGACTCGTCAGACTCGGCGCTCGAGTGACTGAGCGAGCGAGAGAAGGGGCGCACCTGGCTCGCGAGGTCGAGCTGGTCGATGTTCTCCTTGAGGTACTGGATCTCGCGGTTGAAGATGTGGAAGGCCGGCAGGTGGAAGCAGCACGAGTGCATCGACGCTGCGGGACGCAGGACGAGACGTCAGGACTCGCGGCGTGAGAGAGAGAGAGCGGGCGAGAGAGAGAGAGGGACGACGAACCGTCGATGAGGTGGATCTGAAGCGACGACGCCATGGTTGGCTGCGCGAGGCGCCAGTCGCTCGAGCTCTGGCCCAGGTTGGACGCCCGGAGGAACTTCTCCCACAGGTCGGCGAACCCTCGCTCGCCCGTACCGCCCTCGTCCTCGTCGTGCGCCCGCCGCGGTTCCCGCCCGTCCAGGTCCCCCTCGCGCCCCGCTCTCCTCCTCGCGTACCCGCTCGCGCCGTCCCCTCCCGCCGCCGCCGAGAGCCGCAGGGCCCCGGCGCCGCCCACGTCCGCCGCGCCCCCCGGCCCGCCCCGGTGCCGCACGAGCGCCTGGTGGTGCTGCAAGTCGCTGAGCGCGCGCTGCGAGTGGTACGGGTCGTACGGCATGGGCGGGCGCATCGGGTACGGGAGGGCGCTCGGCGCGTAGGTAGCGGCGCCGGCGTGGGAGCGCGACGAGGGCATGGGCCCGGCGAACGAGGCGTGCGGCGTCGGCGGGGCGGTGAGGCCCGAGGGGGGCGAGATGAGACCGTCCTCGTCCGAGGGCGGGACCCAGGTCGGACGCAGGGCGCTGTGAGGGCGTTGCGCTGTCAGTGAGGGGCGGGAGGTGGGGAAGAGAGCGAACGAGAAGAGGGAGGGGTGCACGCACATCGAGATGTCGTCGCCGTAGTCGCACAGCTCTTTGCGCTTGGTGCACCGCGAGCATTCCGGGTACCGACGGTCGCACTGTAGGCGGCGAGGAACGAGGTCAGCGAGGGTTGCTTTCCCAGGTGGGGAGGGCAAGCCAAGAGAAGCGGGCGAGCGACGACTCGCCTTGACCTTGCGCAGGCGGCAGTTTGCGCACGACTGTGGGTCGCAAGGCAGGGTCAGTCCGAGGTTCTCTGGACGAGGCAAGAGAGAGCTGGGCGCACCTTTGCGGTGACCTTTACGAGCTGCGTCCCTCGGACGAGTTGATCGGGCAGAGCAGACGCGGCGAGGCCGGGTCCGACGGCCGGGACGAGGATGGAGCCGCCTGGTGCAAGGTGGGCTGCTGCATCGAGTGCAAGTTGGGCGGCCCAGTCGACTGGGGCGAGCGGGAGCTGGCTGGTGGAAGCGATCGGCTGGAGGAGATGAGGAGGCGGCGGCTGGACGGGGAGCGGCAGGGGCTGCTGCTGCGGCGGCTGTTGAGGGTAGTTGTACTGCTGGTGGTGCTGCTGCAGGTACGGGTCGTAGCCGTCCATGCTGGTGTGTGAGCTGCGGGCGCGAGAGAGACTTGGAGCGAGGCGGGGCTTGAACGGACCCGAGGGATCCTCACACCGCACCCAAGGTGCTTCTTGCTGGCTCTCCTTCTGACTCTCTCTGTCGATCAGGTACCGAACAGCGAAACCCTCGCGAACGAGATTGAAACGCGCGCCGAGAAGACGAGCGAAGCACCGACGGTCGACCAGGTGGCTGGACCCTCGAGTTGGCTCGAGCGCGCTCCCACGACAGCGACACCTCCCCTCTCTCTCTCGCTCTGTCGACGCCCCGACGCACGACTCACGGAAACGTCGGTTGCCCCTGCCGCCCCTGCCTCGGTACAGACCTCCCTCTCCTCGCGCGCGCAAACCGTCTAGTGCGCGTTGAGCGCCGCGTCCTTCTCGGCCTGGGTGAACATGCGAGGCTGTGGACAAGAGACAGAGTGAGCAGCCAGACTCTCTACTCGTAGCACGGCGGGGGCAACGGCGAAGCGCCGCCTCGCGCTCGCGCAGAGGAAGGAGCCCGGCTCACCGGAATGTTGCGCTCCCTGTGGACGAGGGAAGGGGGCAGGGTCAGCTCACGTGGTCCCGGAAGAGATGTCGAGAGAGCAGAGACGCACCACTTGGTTCCGTCCGGGAACATTGCGGCTGCAGCGAGAGAGGGGGACGAGGGCGAGGTCAGCCCGCGCTCAGAGCGAGACAAGGCGAGGGAGAGAGAGAGGGGGGGGACGCACGCCGGTACGGATCCGGGTGCGAGAACTTGTGCACCTCCTTCTCGGCCTCGTTGAGCAAGGCGGCGACCGCTCGCGGGTCGCGCACGTCGCGGTTGCGCTCAAACTGGGCGCGGATCTCGATCGCCTTGTTGCGCCACAGGTCGCGGCGCACGTACCTGCGAGGTGGCGAGGCCGGACGGGTCGTGCGTGTCAGCTGGGCGTGCGTGGGGGCGTGTGGTGGGGAGAGAGAGAGGGGGCAGGAGGGGGAGGGGGAGCGAGGCGAACCAGTCGAGGGCTCCCTTCAACGCCCGGCGGTACAGGTGCTGCGTGGGCGGCTAGAGTGAGCTCCTGTGTACCTGTCGGTGCGGGAGAGGAGACGCACCATGACATAGCGGCGGTGGGCCTGGGACTGCACAACCCGGTCGGCGATGGGAGGACGAGGAGGGTCGCGACGGGTCAGTGGGGGCCGCACGGACAGGCGGGCGAGGGGACGCACAAAGGGCGAGACTACTGCTGCGGTCGACGGCATCGCTGTTGGGCCGGGAGAGGTGGAGCGAGCGAGCAAGTCGCTCCGTCTCGTCCTCCTCCTCGTCGTCTCGCGACCGGCGTCGGCCCTCCCCACGAGAGGACCGTTGGGCCAGCGCAACGCGGGCTCGGAAACCTGTACGGCGCAGCGCGCCACCCTCTCGGCCGTCCGGTCCACTTTCTGCGCTCGCTCTCTCTCCTCGGCGCGGACCCTCAGCCAGACCGAGAGTTGCTCTCCTCCTGCGAGTCCAGCTCGACCAAGGCCCGCTCTCGCAGAAGATCTAAGTGAGGGAAATCGAGTACTAGTACATGCGATGCGCAACGGCCTACAAGGGTGAGAGGGGGAGGGAGGGAAGAAGAAGAACCGAGCGCGCAGTCGAGCGGCGCTCGACCGCCGACCCGAGGTCGAGCGCTTCGGTCGCCGGCCCCTCAAGTGTGGACAACGAGGAAGAGGGGGCGCGAGGGAGGAAAAGTGCGGGAGAGGACGCCGAGAAAGAGGAGGGGTGACAGGAACGGGCGCAGGCAGATCATGCCTTTGCCGCCTTTGCCGCCTTTGCCAGCTTCTTGGCCTCCTTGAGCTTCTTCTTCTCCTCCTTGGACAGCTCCTCGCCCTGTCGACCGCGAGAGGCAAGGGTCAGCGACTCTCGCTCGTGCGACGAGGGAGAGGGGAGGGGAGAGCGAGGGAGGGAGACGCACATCCTCGCCCTTCTTGCTCTTCTTCGACTTCTTCGGCGACTCGTCCTCGTCCATGGCAGCCTCCGACTTGCGCTTCTGTTGGCGGGGGAGAGAGAGAAAAGAGTCAATCACTCGCGCTCGCATCGTGACGCAGGAGAAGGCGAACCGTGCGCGGGCCCTCGACCCGCACGCCGGGTCGCCACGAGAGACACAGGGGAGCGCGAGGGGACGCACCTTCTTCTTCTCCTTCTTGTCCGCGGGCGCCGACGCCGCCTCGTCGACGTCCATCTTGGCCTCGGCCGCGCCGCCCTCGACCTCGACGCCGTTCTCGGCGTTCTCGGCCTTGACCATGGCAAGCGCACGCAGCATGGCGTCGGCGTTCCTGTGCGCGAGGACAAGGAGGAGGGTCAGGACGCTGTACTCGTGTCGAGCCAGCAGGCGCGCCAGAGCGAGGAGCGCCGGGTTCTCAACCCGACGCTGTCTGCCTAGAGCTGCCGCTCTCCACGCCACTCGCGCCCAAGGCCGAGAGAGGGAGCGAGAGACGCACTTGGTCGGGTTCGAGCCGTTCTCGTAGAACGAGAGGCGCTCCTCGACCTGGTCGCGCAGGACCTGGCCGAACTTGGTCGTCGGCTGGTCGGCGAAGCAGTCGATGCGCGACGCGATCGAGCACTTGTTGGCGAGGAAGCGACTGCGTACCGAGGGGAGGACACGACAGGGTCAGTGTCCGTACTGCGGGAGGACGGGCCAAGGGAAAAAGGGGGCGAGTGGGCGCGCAGAAGGGGACGTGGGAGGAACGGCAAAGAGGGAGGGACGCACCTGATGCGACCCTTGTTCTTGGCGCCGGCGCGGCCGATGAAGGTCGAGTGGTAGATCAAGCCGTACTTGGGCGTGTTGCCCTTGGTCTTGAGGGCGCGGAACAGGGCCTTTTCGGCGCCGAGGATCTGGACCGTCGACGCCGGGTACTTGGACAGGTTGGTGAGCGAACCGGCGTGCGAGATCAGGCGCGCGCCGACCGTGTCGCCGATGAGGGCGGCCAGGTTGGGTGCGACGACGCCCATCTTGTCCGACAGGTAGGCCTGGAGGCTCTTGCGGTAGTCGTACAGGTGGATGACGCGCGTCGCAAAGTTCTTGATGTTGAGGTGGTCGACCTCGGAGATGTCGGTGCCCATCGAGGCGCGCGAGGCGTCGAGGATGTTGCGCGCGAGCGTGTCGTTGTTGTCGAGGAGCTCGGCGAGGGGCTCGAGGATGTCGTCGTCGAGCTGGGCCTTGTCGCCGAGGAGGCGGCACACCTTGGCGTACTGGTAGTTGTCGGGCACGACGCGCACGAGCTCGGGGAAGTGCCACCCGTACCACTCGCGGACGCGCATCGCGAACGTGTTGACGTCCTTGTCGAGCTGGTCGAGGAGCGCAATGGCCTGGATGATCATGTTGTCCGAGCGATTGACGTTGAACTTGACCTTGGCGCGCGAGTAGGCGTGGCCGAGGCCGAGCTGGGAGCGCTTGGTGTCGCCCTGCTCGAGGCCGGCGAGGAGCTTCTCCTGGTGGAGGCGGATGCCGCGCAGGACCTCGAGCGTGCGGTCGCTCGCGTCGCACTCGATGGCGAGGGTCGCCTTGATCGACGACGCGAGGCCGCGCTCCTCGACGCCGAGGACGACGCCGGCCTTCTTGGCGAGGTTGAGCTCGAGGAGGCCGTGGAGGAACTCGTGCACGACGCCCTCGGACACGTCGTTGGCGACCTCGAGGGCGTGGGCGGCGTCTACAAAGGGCACGAACGACACGAGCTTGACCATCTTGGCGAACTTGGCGACGTCGTCGACAGAGTCCTGGACCGACTTGACCGACTTGCCAATCTCCTCGGCGAACTCGCTCGTAAAGACGGCGAGGCCCGTCGCGCACTCGAACAAGAGCTGTTGTGGGTGAGGTCGGTCAGCCTCGGGTGGGCGCGGGTGCGGTGTGGAGAGCGGGCGAGGTTGCTGATGAGGAGGGGGAAGGGGAGGGGGAGGAGAGGGAGGGCTCACATGAGTGGCCATGGCTCTGGGGGCGCGGGCTGGGTCTTGAAGCGGGAGGCTGCGGTGCGGGTAGACCTCGTAGACTGCTCACAGCAAGCCTCGAGGGAGCAGCAGACGGCGAGCGGGTCGAGGAGAGGGAGCCGCCCGTGGTGAGCTTTCTCGTCGACCAAGAACCGAGTCTCACCCTCTCGGCTCGCTCCTACACGAGCCCGACTGGTCTAGAGAGCTGTGCAAGGTCGTCATTGCCCGCCTCCAAGTGCTCGAGCGAGACCAGCCGAGAGCGAGAGCGACTCGCCTCCCCGTCGCACCGCTTGTCCGCACCGCTCGTCCGCACTGTCCTCCTCCCCCTCGACCTCGCGCAGTGACCGAGAGCGCGCTCCCGCCTCGTACGACCTCGCCATGAGCGATCCCGACGCGCTTTCGTCACCACCGCCCCTCGCGCCCCCAGTGCCGTCCTCCCCACTTGGCCACGACGAGCTCCCTCCCGCTCCCGCCTCGCCGCAGCCAGAGCACGCCGCCAACCTCGACGACCTCGAAGCACCCCCCGTCATCGACCTCGTCGAGCCCCAGCACGCCCCGGACGACGCCGACCGCGCAACCGACCCCGAACCTGCGCCAAGCAGCACCCTCATCGCCGAGGACTCGACCACGGCGCCTGCGAGCGGCGCAGACGACGGCGCAGCACTCGATGTAGCTCCTGCCGCCGACCACGGCGCGTCGCCCCCCTCTCCAGACCGCGCACGCGCCGACCACACCGCCGAGGTCGAGCCCGACCACTCGGCCCCCGACGCGTCCGAGCCAGAGCAGCCAGGCGGCGACGACGAGCCCGCCGCCCCTCCTGTTGAGCTCTCGGACTCGGTGTCCGCGCCTGCGCCCGAGGGCGACGGCGACGGCGTGTTCGAGGACGTGAGCCTGTCGCGCGCCCCGTCCGTCGTGCCCGCCGTGCGCTCTCTCCGCGAGGAGGTCCACCGCGACGCGGCCGAGCTCCACGCCGACACGCCCATGGTGCAGGCGAGCGCGCACGATGACGGCGCACCCGCGCCCGACGACCTCGAGCCGCTCCCGGCCTCGGCGGCGGCGCCCGAGCCTGCGCCTGCACCGGCCGCTCCCGCACCAGCACCCACGTCTGCGCCCACGCCGTCCGCCGCATCGACCTCGGCCCCGTCGAGCAGCCAGGCCCCTGCACCGCCGGCCGCGTCGTCGTCGAGCCCGCGCCCAGCCGACTCGAAGCCGCGCCGCGAGTCGCTCGCGTCCGTCACGACCGTGTCGGCGCCCGGTTCGTCGCACCTCGTGTCGGGCATCCTCATCGTGTCGTCGCTCGAGTCGATCGCGGCCACCAAGGAGGCCAAGCGCCACAAGCCGCTCAAGGACGCGCTCGACCGCGCCCTCGAGGCGCTGCGCTCGCCCGCGCAGCCGTCGACGCCCGGCCTGAGCGGCGCCGCCGCCGCCGCCGCGTCGACGACGATCGACCCGCACGTCGTGTTTGCGCCGCTGCGCCTCGCGTGCGAGACGCGGTCGCTCCCCGTCATGATCACGGCCCTCGACTGCCTCGGCAAGCTCGTGTCGTACGACTTCTTCGTCGAGCAGCACGACCCGGACGCGCCGCAGCTCGCACTCGGCCGCGACGACGACAACGTGTCGCTCGTTGGCGGTGCGGCGGGCGCGGGCCCGGGAGCGTCGCAGGTCAACCTCGAGGCGTTGCCGCTCGCCGACCAGATCACGTCGACCGTGTGCGACTGCTTCTCGCCGTCGCCGTCCAACTCGTCGTCGTCCTCCTCGTCATCCTCGTCGACCTCGGCCGCGACGACTCAGCACGACACGCTCCTCCTGCGCCTCCTGTCGTGCCTCCTCTCCCTCATCCTCTCGTCGTCCCTCCCCGTCCACCAGTCGGCCCTCCTCAAGGCCGTCCGCACCGTGTACAACGTCTTCCTCCTCGGTCGCGCCGGCACCGTCCAGACGGTGGCCCAGGCGACCCTCGGCCAGATCGTCGGCGGCGTCTTTGGCCGCGTCACGCTCGACGCCGACACGCTCCGCGCCGCGGCCGGCGCGACGACCGGAGCAGGGCACGTCGGCGCGTCGTCGACGGCGACGGCGGGGCAGGGCGGCGCGAGCGTCGGGCTCGGGCTCGGCGCCGCTGGCGGTGGGTCGGGCGCGACGCCCGGGCCGAGCAGGAGCGCGAGCCGGACCGACCTGACGAGCGTCGTCGAGGAGGAGGATGCGGCGCCGGCTCCCGTCGAAGCGGGCGCGGACGGCGGCGGCGCGGCGGGCGACGAGGCGACCGAGGCGGCCGAGCCGACGCCGCGCGTGCCCCAGGACGGCATGGAGCCGCCGCCTGATGCCACCTCGGCTGCCGAGGGCGACGAGCGCGAGGCGGGCGCGACGCACGAGGGCGAGGGCGCGACGCCGCGAGTGTCGGTGACGCAGGACGGCGAGGACCGAGGCGCGCTCGAGGGCCAGGGCCAGGGCGAGAAGATCACGAGGTGCGTCGGCGAGCTTTCTCTGCGTCTGTGCCACGACTCTGTCGTACGGATGCTCACCTCGCTCTCATGCGTCGCACAGGGAGAACCTCGCGCGCCTGAACGGCACGCCGATCCAGCCGTCCAACGTCGTGTCGACCAACGACCTGCGCATCAAGGACGCCTTCCTCGTCTTCCGGGCGCTCTGCAAGCTCTCGATGAAGCCGCTCGGGACCGACAGGTGCGCCCCCTCTCTCGCTCTCGTCGTCCGCTCGGACCCCTGGGCCGTCGCTCACCTCGAAACTGTCCTTCTCTCTCGCAGCGAGCGCGACCTCAAGTCGCCGGCGATGCGCTCCAAGCTCCTGTCGCTGCACCTCATCCTCACGGTCCTCAACAACCACATGCCCTTGTTCACCGACCCGCACGTCGCCATCATCTCGTCGACCTCGCGCGAGCGCACGCCGTTCCTGACGGCCGTCAAGCAGTACCTGTGCCTCGCCCTGTCGCGCAACGCCGTGTCGCCCGTCATCCAGGTGTTTGAGCTGTCGTGCGAGGTCTTCTCGCGCATGCTGAGCGGCATGCGGCAGCGCCTCAAGAAGGAGATCGAGGTCCTCCTCAACGAGATCTTCCTGCCCATCCTCGAGATGCGCAACTCGACCGTGCGCCAAAAGTCGCTCCTCCTCGCCGCGTTTGCGCGCCTCGCCCAGGACCCGCAGGCGCTCGTCGACATCTACCTCAACTACGACTGCGACCGGTCGTCGCTCGACAACATCTACGAGCGCCTCCTCAACGTCGTCTCTAAGCTCGGCACGACCTACTTCCCGCCCTCGACGCCCAAGCCCAACGAGCCCGTCCTGTCGGCCCTCGCGCCCTCGGCGTCGCCGTTCCCCCTCGCCGCCACGTCCCTCTTTGACGACTCGCGCTTCACCGACCCGGCCTTTGTCGGCACGCCGCCCGAGGCCCACATCAAGCGCCAGAGCCTCGAGTGCCTCGTCACCGTCCTGCGCTCGCTCGTGTCCTGGGCAGGGCGCGGCGCCGGTGCGACGAGCGGCTCGGCGGTCCCGCCTACGCCCTACAACGGCACCTCGGCGCGCCAGAGCGAGGACGGCGGCGCCGAGCCCCGCATGAGCGAGGCCGACGGCGCCGCGAACGGCGGCGGCGGCGGCGGCGAGCGCACGCCGGCCCTGTCGTCGTCCATGTCGTCGACGGCCCTGAACGGCGGCGCCGGCGGCCGCAGCAGCACGAGCGGCGCCAACACGCCCGACGTGTCGGCGCCGGACGACCCGTCGCGGTTCGAGAACGCCAAGCTGCGCAAGACGACGCTCCTCGAGGGCATCAAGAAGTTCAACTTCAAGCCCAAGCGCGGCGTCGCGTTCCTCGTCGAGCACGGCTTCATCCGGTCGACCGAGCCCAAGGACATTGCGCGCTTCCTGCTCCAGGCCGACGGGCTCGACAAGGCGCAGATCGGCGAGTACCTCGGCGAGGGGTGCGTCCACCTGTGCCCTCCTCTTTTCCCTCTCGACGAGGCGGTCCCTGACTCTTCTCCTCCCCGCCCTGCAGCGAGCCCGAGAACATTGCGGCCATGCACGCGTTCGTCGACTACATGGAGTTTACGTCGATGCGGTTCGTCGACGCGCTGCGCATGTTCCTCCAGTCGTTCCGCCTGCCCGGCGAGGCGCAGAAGATCGACCGCTACATGCTCAAGTTCGCCGAGCGGTACACGGCGGGCAACCCGGGCACGTTTGCCAACGCCGACACGGCCTACATCCTCGCCTTCTCGGTCATTCTCCTCAACACGGACGCCCACAATCCGCAGGTCAAGAAGCCGATGACGCAGGCCGAGTTCATCCGCAACAACCGCGGCATCGACGACGGCAAGGACCTCGACGAGCAGTTCCTCGTCGAGATCTACGACGAGATCAACGCCAACGAGATCCGCATGAAGGACGAGGTCGAGGCGGCTGGTCCGCAGGCCCCGGCCGCAGGCCTCGCCGGCACGATCGCGTCCGTCGGCCGCGACTTTCAGCGCGAGGCGTACCTGTGGCAGTCCGAGACCATGGTCAGCAAGACCGAGGTGCGTCCCTGTTCCCCCTTGCCGTCGTCGCCGTCGTCGTCCTCGTCAAGGAGAGCCCGTCGAGCTCACTCTCTCGTCCTCTTTCCTTCCCCCTGCAGGCCCTGTTCCGCACGCTCGTCCGAGGTCAACGACGCGGCGGTCGCGCGAGCGACGAGTACTACTCGGCGTCGCACGCCGAGCACGTCAAGCCCATGTTCGAGGTGGCGTGGATGCCTATCCTCGCCGGCATCTCGGGCCCGCTCCAGGACTCGGACGACCTCGAGCTCATCGGCCTCGCCCTCGAAGGCTTCAAACAGGCGATCAAGATCGTGTGCCTGTTCGACCTCGAGCTCGAGCGCAACGCGTTCGTCACGACCCTGTCCAAGTTCACGTTCCTCAACAACTTTGGCGAGATGCGGCCCAAGAACGTCGAGTGCATCAAGACGCTCCTCGACGTCGCCATGGTCGACGGCAACTACCTCAAGGGCAGCTGGCGCGACGTCGTCACGTGCGTCAGCCAGCTCGAGCGGTTCCAGCTCATCGCCCAGGGCGTCGACTCGCAGGCCCTCCCTGAACTCGGCCGCAAGCCGTGCGTCCCTCACGTTCCCTCTTTACCTTCCTCGGACATTGACTGACTCGGCGAGGGATGTCTGCGCGTGCAGGTCGACGGGCGGCAAGCGGCGCTCGACCGTCACCAAGCGCACCAACCGTCCGACCGACGAGGTCGCGCAAGAGACGAGGTCGCAGCACATCACGATCACGGCCGACATGATCTTCTCCTCGACGCCGCACCTGTCTGGCACCGCCATCGCCGACTTTGTCCAGGCCCTGAGCGACGTGTCGTGGGAGGAGATCCAGTCGTCAGGCCTCGCCGAGCAGCCGCGCGTCTTCTGCCTGCAAAAGCTCGTCGAGATCTGCTACTACAACATGAACCGCATCCGCCTCGAGTGGTCGTCCATGTGGCTCATCATCGGCGAGCACTTTAACCAGGTGCGCCCTCGCTCCTCCCTCTCTGCCCCTTCCCTCGGGCACGCGCTCACCCTCTCCCCCTATCTGCGCGCAGGTCACGTGCCACACCAACGCCAAGGTGTCGTTCCTCGCGCTCGACTCGCTCCGCCAACTCGCGATGCGGTTCCTCGAGAAGGAGGAGCTCGCCCACTTCAAGTTCCAGAAGGACTTCCTCAAGCCGTTCGAGCACGCCATGGTCCACAACACGAACCCGGACGCACGCGACATGGTCCTCCAGTGCCTCCACCAGATGATCCAGTCGCGAGGGCGCAACCTGCGCTCGGGCTGGCGCACCATGTTCGGCGTGTTCGCCGCCGCCGCCAAGGTCCCGACCGAGCGGATCGCCGTCCAGGCGTTCGACATCGTGCAGCGCGTCAACAAGGACAACTTCTCGCAGATCGTCGAGTTTGGCTCGTTCGCCGACCTGACGGTCTGCATCACCGACTTCTGCAAGGTCACCAAGTTCCAGCGCGTGAGCCTCCAGGCGATCGAGCTCCTCAAGTCGCTCGTCCCGATGATGCTCGCGTGCCCCGAGTGCCCGCTCAGCGTCGCGGCCAACGGCGGCAAGCCCGTCGAGGCGACGGCGACCGACGACCCCATGATCCGGTTCTGGTTCCCGCTCCTGTTCGGTTTCTACGACGTCGTCATGAACGGCGAGGACCTCGAGGTCCGCAAGCGGTGCATCCCTGTCTCTCTCTCTCTCTCTGTGTCGCACGGTCGACGTCGTCACCCGGCCGAGCCCTGACCTTTCCTCGCCTCCTCGCGCAGCGCCCTCGACTACCTGTTCGACACGCTCAAGCGCCACGGGTCGACCTTCCCCGCCGAGTTCTGGGACACGATCTGCAAGGAGGTCCTGTTCCCGATCTTTGCCGTCCTGCGGTCGAGGTCGGACGTGTCGCGGTTCTCGACGCAGGAGGACATGAGCGTGTGGCTCTCGACGACCATGATCCAGGCCCTGCGCAACCTCGTCGACCTGTTCACCTTCTACTTTGACGCCCTCGCGCGCATGCTCGACAAGCTCCTCGACCTGTTGAGCGAGTGCATCTGCCAGGGTGCGTCCTCGTCTCCCTTCCCTCCCTCCCTCCTCTCCCCGACTCGTGCCGCGTATTGACACTCTCCTCGTCCCCCACAGAGAACGACACGCTCGCACGGATAGGGACGTCGTGCCTGCAGCAGCTCGTCGAGGACAACATCGACAAGCTGTCGGGCGAGCGGTGGGAGCGCATCGTGTCGACCTTTGCCCAGCTCTTCAAGACGACGACGGCGTACCAGCTGTTCGACCCGACCCTCCTCCTCCCCGAGTCGGCGCACGCCTCGACGCCGACATCGTCGTCGCCATCGTCCACTTTCGCGCCCTTGTCCCCGCCCGTGCCGGCCACGAACGGGAACGGCGCCGAGGAGGGCTCGCCGGTCCCGCCGCCCAAGCCCGGTCCGCCGGTCGACCGCCGTCGCGTGTTCCGCCAGATCATCGTCAAATGCGTCCTGCAGCTCCTCCTCATCGAGACGACGCACGAGCTCCTCCAGAACGAGCGCGTGTACAAGACGATCCCGCCGTCCGAGCTCCTGCGCCTCATGACGGCGCTCGACGAGTCGTACCGGTTCGCGCGCAAGTTCAACGCCGACAAGGACCTGCGCATGGCGCTGTGGAAGGTCGGCTTCATGCGCGACCTGCCCAACCTGTTGCGGCAGGAGAGCACGAGCGCGGCGACGCTCGTCAACGTCCTCCTGCGCATGTACAGCGACGTCCAGCCCGAGCACCTCGAGAAGCGCGCCGAGGTCGTCGACGTCTTTGCGCCGTGCGTCCCACTCTCTCTGCCTCTCTCGCGCTCGTGCTCGAGGAAGGACCTTCGAGACTGACCCGGACCTCTTTTCTCTCCCCTCGCCCGACAGACTCGGCCTCGACGTTCTCGCCAACTACGTGTCGCTCAACCCCGAGACGCAAGCGCGCAACATCACGGCCTGGACGCCTGTCTGCACCGAGATCCTGCAAGGCTTCTGCGCGTTCGAGGACGAGCCCGTGCGTCCCTCCTCCTCCTCATCATTCCTCCCCCCTCGCGACCCCTCACTGATGCGCCTCGTCACGTCGCAGTTCAAGGCGCAGCTCCCGCGGCTGTACCCGCTCGTGACCAACACGCTCGTGCGCGAGTCGGACCCGACGCTGCGCGAGGCGGTGCGCCAGGTGTTTGTCAAGGTCGGCCAGGTGGCGCTCGGCATCACGGGCGGCGAGGGCGAGGAGCAGTAGACGTCTGTGTTTGTGCGTTCGAGGGCGGCGGCGGCGCGTGCTGTATCTGTGTCTCGTTGCCTCGAGCGGTCGTCGACGATGAGGCGGCTTTGGCGGGGCGAGGAGAGCGAGAGAGCGACTCGTCTGCTACTAGCTCTCGAGTGACACAGTCACGCTCTCTGAGCTCATGGTCGCGCGGGCGCTGTCCGAGGCTCGCTCGAGGTTGTCGCCCGACGGCTGTGGGCTCTGTTCCCAGGCTCGAGCGTCTCGCTCGCTCTCGCTGCCTCTCGACAGGCTCGCGGGCAAGCGCAGCAGCTCACTGCGCCTCTTCAGGAGCTACTCGGAGGCGCGCGTCCTCCTCGCTGAGCTCCAACCTCGCCCTCGTCACCTCATCAAGCCTCCACGACTCTGCACCTCCTTCCTCCTCATCCACCCTCGCCAGCGCCCCCTGCGACAGCGTACAGCGCTCAAAAGCCGTTACTAGAGCAGGTGCGCCCCTTCTCTCCATCTCTAGAGGCGGTGGAGGTGGGGTGGGTTGCTCGGCTCGCTCTCTCGACGAGGAGGCGAAGGGGAGCGAGAGATGGGACGGCAGGCACGGCCGCAGCGAGATTGCACCTTGTCGGGTGCATCGCGGCTATCGAGCCCCTCTGGATGGAGCTGGAGCGTTTCCCCCGCCCTCCCCTCCTCCTCCTCTCCTCCTCCTCGTCCTCCCCCACCTTACGACCACCTTCCCGCCTCCTCTCTCGCATCAGCGAGCTCTCGGTCGCTGTACGTTGTCTCGCGCTTGTTGCCGAGTCGTCCCGGCTTGGCCGGAGACGCACACGCGCTCGTGGGGGAATGCGGCGCGGACAAGAGCACGTCCGTCCTTCGACGCCTCGAGGACACCGACCTGATCTCCCCCTTGTCTCCCTCCCGTCCACTCTCGCAGAACCTAGAGCGCAGACGCGGCTCATCATGTCGAGCCAGCCGTCGATGGCCTCGTCCACGGCCTCGACGCCTCACCTTCGAGGACCGGGCACGCCCGTCCTCGGCCTGTCCGCCAACGCCCACTCGTCCCGTCCAGCCGGCCAGGTCAGCAGCGCCGCCGACTTGACGGCCTCGGTCCGCCGCACGTCGGGCCAGCGCCCGCCGCCGCTCGTCGGCTCGAGCGCCACCGTCATCGGCGACGCCGTCTTTGTCTTTGGCGGCCGCCTCGTCCCGACTCGCACCATGGTCGGCACCCTGTACCGCCTCGACCTGCCCACCGGCGAGTGGACGAAGCTGTGGCCTGCCGAGGAGGACGGCGGCGCATCGGCGGCGCAAGGGCCACAGCCGCGCTACTTCCACAGCGCGTGCGCGTGGGGCGACAAGCTCGTCGTCTTTGGCGGCGAGGGCTACGGCGGCGACGACGCGCCCGCAGGCGGCGCGGCAGAGCCCCCGTCGTTGTCGTCCGAGACGGACCCGGCGCACGCGCTGCGCACGCTCGGCGACGTGTGCGTGTGGGACACGGTCGAGGGGCGGTGGCTCGACGGCGAGACTGGGTGCGCCGAGGGCGTCGAGCGGCCGGCGCCGAGGTACGCGCACCTCGGCGTCGTCACGAGCGTCGCGGTCGAGGGCAGGGACAATGCGGTCATGGTCATCATGGGCGGCCAGGACGTCCGCAACACCTGTGCGTCCCCGAGTCTCTCTCTTCCCTCCTCGCCCGAGAGCAACGCCTGACCTTCCCGCGCCCGCAGACCTGCACTCGACCAACACGCTCGACCTCGACTCGATGACCTGGGTCAAGAGCGGCACCTGGGACCGCCACATCGGTACCTACCGCGCCGTCGCCGCCGCACCTCGCTACACCGTGTCGCCCTCCACCTCGACGCCCTCTCCTCTCGCCGACACGTCCGCCTCGCTCGACCCGCTCATCCAGCTCAGCCACTCGACCGTCGTCGACGACGCCGACCCAGAGCCCCTCGTCCTGTACTCGAACTTCAACTTCTCGCAGGTCCGGCGCGACCTCGACCTCCTCGAGTCGCCTTTCACGACCTCGTCGGCGCCGCCCCTGTCGGGCACGTCCCTGTCGTCGTCCATGACGGGCTCGTCCTTCCCTCCCGGCCTGCGGTTCCCGACCGGCGCCATCGTCGGGCGCCACCTCCTCGTGTTCGGCACCTTCCTGTCGGCCGCCGTCAACAACTTCTCGGTGTGGGCGCTCGACCTCGGGCCCGGTGGCGCAAAGGGCGTCAAGGAGCGCATCGCGCGCGGCGACAAGCTCGAGTGGATGCGCATCGACCCGGGCAGCGTCCTCGCGCGCGGCAGCTGGAACCGCGCCGTCGTCTGGAGGAACACGGTCGTCGTCCTCGGTGACCGAGGTGCGTCCCTCTCTCTTTCCCTGCCTTTCTTCGACTTGGTCGAGCAGCCCTGACCCAGCTCGCCATCCACAGAACGCGACATCGCCCTCGACTACGACCACCGCCAGGCCAACTTTACGCACCTCGCCGTCGTCGACCTCGAGTCGTTCGGCATCTACCAGCCGCCGACCCTCCCGCTCCCGCTCGAGGCGCAAGCCCTCGGCCTCTACACCCTGTCGCTCCCGACCCTCGCCGACTTCGAGATCGTCTGCTCGGACGGCAAGCGCCTCGGGTGCTCGCGGCAGGTCCTCGTCGAGCGCTGGCCGTGGTTCAAGGGCAAGCTCGACGAATTTCGCCAACGTGCGTCGGGCGTCCAGGCGGCGCAGCAGAAGCGCGAGGCCGAGTCGGCGTCGGCGGCGACAGCGCCGAGCAGCCCGACCGTGCAGCGCGGCGGCGAGGTCAACGGCGGCGCGAGCTTGTCGCAGGCGCACGGCGCCGACGCGCTGCGCCTCACGCCGCGCACGCTCGAGCTCCCCGAGCGCTCGCCCGTCGTCCAGGCCTACCTCGAGTACCTGCACGCCCTCACGCTGTGCACGCCCCTCCAGCTGCACCGGCCCGTCCTCGCCGCGCTCGTCGTATTTTCCAAGACGTACGGCGACGACGCGCTGCGGGCGTGGTGCGTCCATGCGCTGCACGGCGTGCTCGAGCAGGAGGCGAGCGCCGCGCCGCTCGTCTACGAGGCGGCGACTATTGCCGGCTGCACGGCGTTGCAGATCCGCGCTTTGAGGACGATGCTCGTGCGTCCTCGCCTTATCTTCCTCCTCTCCCCGCACCGAGATCCGACCTGACGCTCCTGTTCGACCGCCCGCAGAGCAGTCCGGCGTTACGGGCTCGTTCGGCGGCCCCTCCTCCCTCGGCGCCCGCTCAAGGTAGGCCCGTCCTCGCCTGAGCCACCACCCTCTCCCTGTCCTTCCTCTTTTGTCGTACACCCCGTCGTTGTGCCCTGCAAAGGACGATCCACATAGACTTGTCGAGCCTTGAGTCGAGCTGCGGCGCTGACTCTTCGTCGCCTCCCTCTCTTTCTCCTAGATTCGACGCACCCGTCCCGAGGCGGCTCGGTCTCGTCGTCGTCGACTTGGACGGCTTCGACAGCGAGCGCTACCTCTACCTCGACGTCCAGGGCGCCTCCTCCGCAAGCTCTGCGTCGGAGCCAGCTCGGCGCGGCCCTCTCGATCCCGACGCGCTCGCCCCTCTTCTCGCCTCGTTCGCCTCGTTCGCCGCACCTTCACGACGCGCCTTCTTCGCCACCGCCGACGTCGCCCCTTCCTGCGCTTCCCGACACGCCCTCGCCGGCCAAGAGCGCTCGTCGCTCGTCGTGCGCGTCCAAGGCGCCGTCCGACGAGGTCGCCGAGCCAACGCCCGACGACGTTCCGCCGCTCCCCGTCCCTCTCTTCTCGCCCTTCCTCTCGCCCGACGTCTCGACGCCGCCTCGCACGCGAGCTCGCCTCGTCAGCACGGCGTCGACGCGCTCGTCCGACGCGGGCTTCTCGGACGCCGGCGGCGCGCACCGCCTGTTCGACAGCGAGTCGGACGCGGCGACGAGCCCGCTCGAGTCGAGCGCCGGGTCCGAGGTCAGCGTCGCCACGGTGGCGACTTCGATCCGGTCGCGCGCGTCGTCGGTCGGCAAGGCGTCGCTCGGCTCGGTTGCGTCGCAGGGCCCGGCGCCGTGGGCCACTCGGCTCGAGACGCAGCTCGAGGAGGACGAGGCTGCGTCTGTCGAGTTCGAGGACGGCGGCGAGGCGGCGACGGCGCCGGTGGCCGCTGTCTTCGCCGACAAGGAGAGGGGCCCGAGCGCCTCGGTCCCGGCTCCGGGGGCGGCAGCGGCGGCGCCCGCCAGCGAGGGTCGCCAGGGCAAGTTCTCGCTCTCGGCGTCGCTCGTGCCCAAGCGGCTCAAGCGGCGGCCGCGCAGCAGCGCCGGCGACGAGGTCGACGGCGGGACGGCCCGGCTCGAGGACGAGCACTGGGCGCCGTCCTTCTTCGACACGGTCAAGGGCGGCAGCGGAACGATGCGCAACCCGCTCTCGACGCGCAAGGCGACCGCCATCACGCGCGAGCTCGTCGACGAGCTCGACATTGGCGCCCTCGCAGCGCCGCAGCCGCTCGTCTCGCCGCCGCTCCTCCCGATGCGCCACCCCGACGATGACGATGGCGAGCGCTTCGTCAGCCCTCGAGCGGCACCACCGCCGTCGTTCGTCGTCTCGTCGGCGCATGGGCTTGGCCCGTCGACGTTCACGTCCTCCGACCCGCCTCGAAGCTCGACCTCGTCGAGCAGCACTCGTCGCCTCTCGCTCGACCCGGGCTCGCTCGCCCTCCCTCGTCTCTTCCACCACGGCGCACGTCCGGCTTCCACGCTGTCGCGCTCGCCCTCGACTCGGTCGTCGGCGTCGTCGAGCGGGTCGGTCGCCATGGACCGCTTCAGGTCCTCGTCGGGCGGCAGCGCGTCCTCGGCCGACGAGGCGGTCACGCCGCTCCTCCCTGCCGGCGCCTTCTCGGCGCCGACTGAGCCCGTCGTCGCCGGCGCGGTCGCGTTCGCGCACGAGGTCACGGCGGCGTCGTTCGGCAACTCGTCGGGCTGGGCCGGTCAGGCGCACGACGGCTCGGCCAAGGTCGCACGAGCAGACGAGGCGGGTCACCTCGACCCGCTCTGCTTCGTGCAACGACATGCCGCCTCGCACTCGAGCGTGTCGCTCGCCGACCCGTCGCTCGCTCGCCCTCCTTCTCTCCCTACCCGGTCCTTCTCCGCCCCGGTCAAGGCCTCCTCTCTCTCTCCTGCGACTCTATCTTCCTCTCCACCCTCCACCTCGTCGTCGAACAAGAAGAAGAAGCCTCTCTCGGCCAAGGAGCAGCGCCACGCGCTCGAGATCTCGGTTGGCACCAAGGTCCTCGAGGCGGCCGGCGCGTCGGCGACCGAGGTCCGGCTTCGCGCGCGCAGCGTCGGGTTCCAGGTGCTCAAGCAGCGCGAGGAGCACGCAAAGAAGCGGGGCGGGGCGGGCAAGGGCGCGGCAGGGCTCGGGCTTTCGGGCGCGCTGGGAGAGTACGTCGGCGGAGAGGCGCTCGGGAGCCGATTCAGTGTGGACTAGCGAGTCCCCTCGTCTGTTGCTGTCAGTATTATGCATCGTCTGTTCGCGTTTCTGTTTCACGGTTTCTCTCGCGAGCTGTCGAGAGCGGCAAGGTGAGGAGGTCCGTGCGAGGTCGACGGCCTTCCCAAGTTCGCGCGTCGGGCTCTTTCTCGCTTCGCGCCTGCGGGAGCTCTCGAGAGGTGCTCTATCGACTCGCTCGACGAGATATGATAATAGTTGCGCTCAGATCTAGCTCCTCAGAACGACGTCTAATCGCTGTTCTCGCTGCTCACGCCTGACGGCCCCGCTGCCGCCACCTGCGCCCAAACACCATCGTCACGGCGACGAGCTGCGTGTGGGACCGAGGAGAGTGAGCTCTAGGCCGCTGAGCCAAAGAGAGGGAGAAGGGCGACGCACGAGGAAGCTGAACGGGCCAGACAGCGCCGCCAAGATGCCCGACGCGCTCACCGAGCCCAGGTCCTCGTACATGATGCCGAGGTAGAATGGCGCGACGAACTGCGTGGCTCGAAGAGTTAGAGAGATCCGAGCGCGGCAGTAGAGGGGGAGAGAGGACGCACGGCGAGAAGCTGCCGGACGAAAGCAACGAAAGGCGGGACGCGGCTTTGCAGGCTTGGTGGCTGAGACTCGGTCACGTAGGCGTAGACGACCGTCGTGACGAGTTGCGAGGCGAATAGAGCGATGGCGACGCCGATCAAGGGGGTCACGTTCTGCGAGAGGGAAGAGAGAAAGAGGAGAAGGTGAGCAGGGGGTCCGAGCGAGGGCGTCGAGGAAGGAGGGGCGAGGGACGCACCCAGACGCCCGCCTTGGTGTTCTGCAGCTGGATGCCAAAGACGAGGATGCCGACGAGCGCGAGGACAAAGCCCGGGAGCGAGAACGGCAGGCGCATCTCGGGCTCGCGGTTGCCGTGCGCGCGCTTCGTCCGCCACGTCATCCACGTGTCGGAACCTCGCCCGGCGATGATCTCGCCCAGGATGGCTCCGACGACGGCTGCGACGAACTGGATACCGGTTTGCTGCGCGTTGAGCTCGTACTTGCGGCCGAGGAGCGCCGGGATCTCAACCGTGAGGAGGACCTGCGGGGCGCCCGACCATGTCAGCGACGAGGTCGTGCTGCGTCGCTTTCGTCGCTCCTCTCGCCCTCGCTTAGACATTGTCGGTCGATACAGGAGTGAAAGAGGAGCGGCGACTCACGTTTGTGTAGCTGAAGACGACGGCGTAGGCGAGGGTCGGGAGGAGGACGGGAAGCGAGAGCGCCATGGTGAAGGGCCGAACGACCTCGAGCGGCAGGCGTGACCAAGGCTCGGCCGACACGCGGTGGAAGGTGAACAGGAGGCGCCAGTACGGCGTCTTGTGCGGGACCGGCTCGGCGAGAGGAGCAGGCGCGCCGGGACCGCCTCGAACGGGACGCTTGAACCCGGCCGTCTCGGGGCCGAGGAACATGTACAGGACACTGTGGGCAGGGCCGAGGGTCAGTGAGGCTCGTCCTGTCGACTCGGGCGGCGAGGGGACGGCACGAGCGATCTGAGAGGGCCCGCTCGGCCCGAGAAGCGCTTGACGAAGTGGAAGAAACAGGAGGACGCACAATTGTCCAAGGTTGATCAACGCCATCAAGTAGAACGTCCATTGCCAGTTGGTGTGGTAGACGAGAGGGCCCATGAGGAGCGGGGCGACAGGCGGTCCGAGCGAGTTGAGGAGGGTCCAGATGCCGATCTTGGCGCCGCGCTCGTGGAGGAAGAACATCTCGCCGACCATCGTGGCGCCGATGCTCTGTGGCGGGCAGAGAAAGATGGCCTGGAAGACACGCGTCGTCATGAGCGCGCCGTAGCTGTGGCAGTAGGCGCCGGCAAAGTGGCAGGCCGCCGAGAGGAGGGCCGAGAGGAGCTGCAGGGAGAGACGGTCGGTCAGTCAGACATCCTGAGATGAGTCGAGAGAAGAAGAGTGCGTAGGAGCGGGAACGAGAAGGGAGAGGGGGACGAGAAGGGAGAGGGGGACGAGAAGGGAGAGGGGGACGAGAAGGGAGAAGGGGACGAGAAGGGAGAAGGGAACGAGGGGAACAAGAGGCAGAAGAGGCTCGCGCGCTGACGCACCAGGACTGGCCGACGGCCGATGCGGTTCGAGACGGGCGCCCAGAGTAGAGGGAAGACGCCGAGGAAGATGATCGGGACGCTCCTGCGAGGTTGGAGGAAGGATTGTCAGTATGAGACTCAGGAGGAGGACAGGTCGCGAGGAGGGAGCGCGAGGAAGGGGGACCGAGGGGCAATTTGGCGGGTCGTGCGTCGAGGGCACAAAGAGAGTGGGCGGGTATCCAAGAGCGAGAGAGACTCACACAAAGTAGGACGCCTGGGTGATAGAGATTCCCCAGTGCTCGGCGAAAGTCTCGAAAGACGGGATGACGGCTGCAGCGCTGAACGCGCCCATCATAGAGTGAAAAGCGACTTGTACGAGTAGGACGTGCTTGCGCCATGACGGCCAGTTGTACGGGTCTGTGCGAGGGGGCGAGAGAGGGGGTCGAGGAGGGTCAGGGCGCGGTTCGGTTCGACGGCGACGGGGCTCGACGCACCGTTCGGGTCGTCGCTGGGCTGTAGGTCGAGAGGAAGATGTTAGTGAGATGCGCTCGTCGGTCGAGAAGGAGTCGCTGGGGATGTCGAGCGCGGGAAGAGGAGGAGGAGGAGGACGAAGAGGAGGTCAAGGCGACGAGGGACGCACCATCGGGACCAGGTCGATGCGCCCATGCCGCGCGAGCACCTTCTCGAGACCGTACGCCGCAACATCCTCGTTGAGCGTCGTCGTCGGCTTGTCCTCCTGTCGGCCGTCGAGCGGCGCCGGCGCCTTCTCGATGTCAGAGTCTCGGCGGACGGTCATGGCGGTACGAGCTTGTGGGTCGGATTGGCGAGCGGCGGGCGGCGAGGCTCGAGAAGAGCAGGTCGAGCGAGGGCAGCGGACGACTCGAGAGCGGGCGACTCGAGCGAGAGCGAGGGGGAAAGCGGAGGAGGAGGACCACAGCTCGGGCTCCGGCTGGGGAAACAAAAGCCGCCCGCCCACGAGGAGGAACCGTCTGCCGGCTCGCCCGGAGCTGGCATCAGCCGCCTGCAGCTCAATTTGGGGCTTGCGCGACCGAGGCGGGCGGTGGAGGCGGAGACCCAGGATCTCGAGGAGCGACGAAGGGGAAGCGCCCGCCGCGCCGCGCGCGAGTGGTGCGGAAGCTCGACAGGCGCTGTAGCAGCTCGCCAAGCACGCAGCGAGCACATTGCGCAGGCAGCGAGCCCCGCTCGAGGCGAGGGAGCGCGTGAGGGCGAGCGCGAAAGTCTGCGAGCCGACGAGCCGCGGCTTGTCTTCGCGGCCGGCGTGGCGTGCAGCACGATCGCGCTCTCGGTCCATGCGACACGGAGAGCGACCGGCGCATCTGATCCGTCGAATCCGCCGACGACGACGGTCCCCAGCCGTCCGACACGCACGGAGCTCTCGCGCTCGAGGACAGCCGGACCTCTCTGCTCTAGTTACAGCTCTCCCGCTCGCTCACGCACTCGTGCGAGACGGACAGAAGGGAGAGAATAGATGCTGGTTGCGGTTAAGGTACACAGACGTCGTGGCGGAGAGCGCTCAGACGGAAGCCGACGGGGACGAGGGCGCCTCGCCCGCCTCCTTCTTGCGCTGCTGCTTCTCGAGAAGCTTCCTGGAAGGTGCAAGACGAGTCAGTACACGTGCGAGGACAACCCTGATCGCCAACGCGCGAGCCGACGACGAGATCTCGACGGTTTTGGACGAGGGTGAGGAAAGGGTCGACGCACCGCCTCGCCTCGAGCACGAGCTTCTCCTTCCTCGCGCGCAAGTTCTGCTCCCTCTGCGACGCGTCGGGCGACCACCCTCCCGCCTTGAGCGGCTCGCCGTCGACCTCCTTGCCCTTGCCCTTGCCCTTGCCCTGGTCGTGGTCGTCGGCGGCCACCTTGGCCTGGAGGCCCATGCGCTTGATGAGCGACGGCGGCGGACCCTGCGCGACGTGTGCCGAGGTCGACGAGCCGCGTGTGGGCGTGACGGGCGTGGGCGTGGCGGGGCGCGCGACGGCGGGGACGGAGCCGTCGGCTGGTGGGGGGAAGTAGGAGGCGGGCGGCTGCAGGGGGACGAGGTTCGCGGTCAGGCTCGCGTGCGCTTTCGCGACAGGCTCAGAGAGGAAGAGGACGGAGCTGGCGTACCTCTGGCAGGCCTCCCTCTCGCAGAGCGCGCTCGACTGCCCTCTCGACGCTGCCGCCGTTGCGCTCGAGCTCCCACCTCGCCGCGCCTTGCGACACGAGCGGAAACACGGCGAGGACCTGGTCGATCGAGGCCTGCGACACTTCTCGACGGCGCGAGCTCGAGGATGAGCCTGCGATGGGGGAGGAGGGACGTGGTCAGCCGAGGGAGCGGCCACCCGGCGGCTGCTCTCGAGCGGCGGGAGTGGCCGGCTCGAGAGCTGCTCAATAAATACGAGGAGTGGGCAGTCCGGAGTCACCGAACACGAGCTTGTACGCGGCGTAGCAGACTCCCGCCGCGACCGCCCAGCCGATTGCCTCGTCCTGCGGCGCGCACACACAGAGGTCAGCGAGGAGGTCGCGCGCTGTAGAGAGAGAGAGAGAGAGGCGGGCGCACCATGGTTCTGCGTCTGGAGGGAATGGTGGGCGAGGTGTGCGAGGGAGGGAGAGGGTTGCCGGGCTCCACTCTGAGCCGGAGATGAGCGAGCGACGAGCGAGCGACGCACCCCTCTCGCGCGCCTGACGAGGCCTTTCGTTCGCCGTCTTCCCAAGCTCGGCGCAGCACGCCGGCGCAGCAAAGGCGGCAGAACGAGGCAAAGCTTTCGCTACCTCTCCTCGACCTCCTCGCCGCGGCGGAGACGACACTGCGCGATGCGATTCCTGCGAGGCCCTTCTAAGTAGCAACTGTACGACCTCCCTCGATCCTCTCCCATCGTTGCCCGTCTCGCTCAGACGATGCCCTTGGCGATGGCGTACTCGGCCTGCGGTCGAGGGAGGCTCGTCAGGGACCCGTACCGAGCACACGCCGCCACGCACGCGTTCTCGTGGCGAGGGGAGAAAAGAGAAAGGCGAGACGCACGTTGATGATCGAGCTCGTCGCGGCGCCAATGTTGACGTTGGAGCTGAGGACGACGAGCTTGAGGTCGAGGACGGGGCATTCTCGGACGCGGCCGACATGCACGTTGGCGCCGTTCTCGTCGTGTCGGTCGAGACGGGGCTGCGGGCGAGAAGATGTGTGTCAGCAAGCGGGCGAGCGAGGAGAGGGCGCCGAGGCGCGAGGAGGGGGGAAAGAGAAGGGGAGAGATGCGGGAGGGGACGGACCTGGGGACGATCGGGTGCCTCGTGGACGACGATGGCCTGCTGCGGCGCCGACGGGCAGCCCATCTTCTGCGCCTCGCAGTAAAAGGCCTTGAGGGCGTCCTTGACCTGCTGCGGGCTCGGCGGCGGGCGGCGCGCGAACCGGATCGACATGCACTCGAGGTGGCCGTCGACGACCGGGACGCGGTTGCAGTGCGCCGACACCTTCATCGGGTGCTTCGAGTGGTAATCAAACTCGGTCATGTCGTCCGACAGGCCGCCGAGGATCTTGGCGAGCTCCCACTCGATCTTCTCCTCCTCCTTGCCGATGTACGGCACGACGTTGTCGAGGATGTCGAGCGAGGGCACGCCCGGGTAGCCCGCGCCCGAAATGGCCTGCATCGTCGTCACCATGACCGTCTCGAGCGGGCCGAACGCCTTTTCGAGCGCGTGCAGCGGGACGACGATGCCCGTCGTCGAGCAGTTGGCGTTGGTGATGATGAAGCCCTTCTTGAGGCCGAGCTGCTGCTTCTGGTGCGGCACGATCGCAAAGTGCGACGGGTTGACGAGCGGCACGCACAGCGGCACGAGCGGGTCGCGGCGGAAGTTGCCCGCGTTCGAGAAGACGGCGTACTCTGCTTTCCGCAGAGCCTCCTCTGCGATGCGACGAGGGGAGCGTCAGATCTCGCTCGTGTCGATGCAAGGTGGAACAAGGAGAGAGTGTGGGACGCACCGACCTCGCCGGCGACATCGCTGTCGAGGCCCGAGAAGACGATCTCGGCGTCGCCAAACTGGTCGGCGTCGCACGAGCGGACGACGAGGTCCTGAACGCCCTTGGGGAGGCGGACGGCCTGCTTCCACTTGACGACGTCCTTGTAGGCCTTGCCCGCCGAGCGCGGCGAGGCGTGCAGCGACGAGATGCGGAAGTACGGGTGCGACGACAAGAGGCAGATGAAGCGCTGGCCGACGGTGCCGGTCGCGCCGGCGATGGCGACCTTGACCTCGCGCTGGGGCTGCGACATGGCTGGCGGTGCGCTGGACGAAGCTAGAGGGGCTCGGTGAACGAGGAAGAACGACGGGGGAGCCCGACGGGAGGTCGAAGAGGAGCGGGAGGTAGGTCTGCAAGCCGGGGACGGGAGAGGGTGGGGATTGGGCAGGGTCAGCTCTGTGACCCGAGTACAGGCGCCACACGCAGCGCAAAAGGGCTCAGGCGGGACGTACAGTGCCGGGACGACGAGGAGACGAAAGTCCGGGGCGGAGGAGGCGACGACGCGAGAAGAACGGCGTCTGGCGAGCTGCGACGACCAGGCAAAGTGATCAGGAGTGTGTGCGAGTGCAGAGGGGCGCAGCACAGCTCACCAGCGAGGTGCGAAGGGGTTGATCGCAGAGATGAGGGCGCCCTCTCCTCGTCGCGAGCTCTTCCGTTGACTCTCGCGGCCTCGAGCACCGTCACGGCTTGCGATGGACTGGCTGTCCAGCTGCGCAGCTCTCGCTCTTGCTCTTGAGACCCCTCGAGCAAGTCTCGCACCGATCCGCCGCGCCGCCCGCTCGCACGGACTCTCTCGCTCCGGCCGCGGCCCCTCGACTCGCACGGCCGCTCGTCGACAGAACCGCCCTCGTTGCAGAGTGCGACACGGCCATCATGCCGACGCCTTCTGCTGGATCTTGAGGCTAAAGTCGACGATGCCGCAGCCCTGGTGGATCGACGAGGTCGAGAGGATGTCGACGTCTGCAGGCAGGCAGAGGAGGCCGTGTCAGTGAGTCGCACGCGCAGATCTTCGTCGCCACGAGCGTCGACCTTGTCGAGGACAGACGCTCGTCGGCAGAGGGAAGGGAGCGGCAGGACGCACCAGGGCACAGGCTCTCCTCCATGTTCTCCTCGGTCAACCCGCCGCTGACCTCGATCAAGCACCGCTTGACGACGCCTCCCTCGCGACCGGCCTCGCCCGTCTCCCTCACCCAGTCCTCCTTGAGCGCCCGCGCCGCGTCGCGGATCCCGTCGGGCGTAAAGTTGTCGAGCATGACGATGTCGGCCCCGGCGGCGATGGCCTCGCGCGCCTCGGCGAGCGACTGGCACTCGACGTGGATGCGCAGGGCGAAACCGGCCGTTGAGCGTGCGGCTTGGACGGCCTGCGTGATCGAGCCTGCGTGCGGCAAAGTGGGCGAGCCGGGGCGAGTCGGAGAGGGGAGAGGACGGGGGAACTTGGTCAGGTGCCGGCGCTTGCGCGAGAGGAGAGACGTAGGGACGCACCCTTGGACCAGATGTGGTTGTCCTTGAGCATGACCATGCTCGACAGGTCGTACCGGTGCGCGTCAACGCCGCCGACAAGCATGCCGTACTTCTCGACCAAGCGGAACCCTGTGTGCGACGCGCCCGTGTCAGGCTCGTGTGCACGCCGCCGAGCAGAACGAGAGCAAGAGAGAGAGAGAGGGACGGACCAGGCGTCGTCTTGCGCGTGCCGGCGATGATGCCGTTCCACCCGAGCTGGCGCGCCTTGACGAGCACTCGCCGCGACCTGCGCGCTCGAGTTCCTGATCAGCGCCCTTTCCGCTGCGCGTCACGCGCCGCTCGCGTCGCAGAGTGAGAGGAGACGCACTTGGCCGCGATCCCGCTGCACCTCGCCATCGTGTTGAGCGCGACCCGCTCGCCGAGCAGGAGGCACCTCGCCGGGCCCTTGACGGTCGCGACCTTGATCTTGGGCGTGTCGGGCGTCGGCGAGACGGCGGCACCTTCTGCTAGGTGCCACTCGACGCTGCAGATAGTGCAAGGGAGAGAGTCAGAAGGTGCCGCGGCTGGACGGCGAGTCGAAGGAGAGGAAGGAGGCGACGCACGTGCAGCCGAGCTGGGCAAAGATCTCGTCGACGAACGGCACACCGGCGAGGACTCCCTGCGCGCATGCCCGCCAGTCTCAGCTCTGTGCCCGTGCGCTGCGAGGGAGGAACGGGGGACGCACCTGGCTCTTGCCCCACAGCGTCGCCTCCTCGAGCGTCTCGCCGACGACGAACCCGCCATAGTCGAACGAGGGCGTGTCTTCTGCGAGCCAGGCCGTGATGATGCTCTTCCACGAGGGCGGCAGGAGGTGCGCGTAGTTGCCGAGCGGAGCGGGGAGCGACGAGGTGGTGGGGGAGGGCACTGCGAGCGCGACAGGCGGGCGGGCCGCGTCAGTCCCCGGTCTGCAGGAGAGCTGAGCAGCTGCGTGGACTCACTGGTGCTGGGCGGCGTCTTGCGAGAGAGTTGAGGGAGCGGGCGCGACCGGCGTTGGCACACGAGAGCGATCGAGAGGCGCCAACTGCGAGAACAAGGAACGGCAGACTCGCTGAAGGCTGCGTTGCACGTACGAGCTACTCAGAAGAAGGCTACCGCGAGCGCAAAAAAGACCTGCGACAGTGCGACGCTCCTCTGCGGCACCGCTCGCGCCCTCACCTCTCTCCTCGCGCCGACCAGCAGCGCCATGCCCGCCTCCCGTCCCGCCCCCAGCGCCCCAGCTCACACCAGCGCCCTGACCCACTCCGTGTCTCCCGAGAGCCACATCCCGACGCCGACGCCCGCGAGCGCCGCGACGGCCCAACCGAGGTCGAGCCGCACGACGGTCCAGCACCACAGGACGCCCGTCGCCGGCGCGCGCGCCATGACGCGCATGTAGCCCTGCGTCGTGCACGTGTGGATCGTGCTCAGGCCGGACGCGACCGAGAGGCCGAGGAGGAGGAGCTGGAGGATGAGGGGTGGGAAGGGGGCGCGAGAGGGAGGGCGGAGCGAGAGGAAATTGAGGAGGAGGAGGGCTGCGCGGGATGAACAGAGGTCAATGACGGCGCTCGAGCGAGAAGAGGCTGTGAACGCACCAGGCACAAAGTTGGCGAGCCGACGCAGTTCTTCCCGCGGCACGATCGACTCGCCAAACTGCGAGTGGACGGCGTAGTCCCTGTTTGCGACGGATGGTAGAAGTAGAGTCAGTGCGCGGACCTGTGCGAGAGAAAGACGAAGAAGGGCAGACGCACATGCCGGCAAAGAGGAACGCGAAAGGGACGGTCCCGAGAACGGCGCTCGCGACCTCCTCCCACAGCTGCGGTTCGAGATCCAACTCGCCGTCCGCGTCTCCCTCGACGCTGTCACTCGACGCCGTCCCGTTCAGGAGGTCGCGGACCGAGGTGCCGCTCTGCTGCTGCTCCTGGACGAGCCGCTCGAGCTCCTCCGGGTCGAGGACGACCATCGGCTCCTTGCCCTTGCCGCCGCTGCCCTGGCTCGGTCCGGCGCCCGGCTTGACGAGGCCGTGAGGCAGGCCGAGCTCTGAAGGCCGCATGGGCCCGTGCTGTTCGAGGAGGCGGAGGCGGTCGGCGTGCGAAAGGTCGAGGAGAGGGGCTGGCGAGGCGGGGGGAGAAGGCGAGGGGGTCCAGGAGCCGCTTTGGGCTGCAGGGCGAGGCTTTGGCGACATCCTCGCGGTGCTGGTGAGAGGTAGCGAGCGGTTTCAAGCGAGAGCTGCGAGACGAGCCGCGATGGCTCGGACGCGTCGCCCACCCTCGACTCGCTCGAGTGATCTTGCTGCTGCGCCGAGCCGCTCCTGTATCTCCCTGCACGAGTGCACGGCCTCGCATCGCGGCTCGTAACGCTGTCACGAGCGAGGGCCGACGACGCGACTTCATCATCTCGAGGTGCGTGTTCTCTCGCCCCGTCCTGGGTGTGCGGTCAGGTGCACAGCGCGTCTCAAACACCATTCCTGACCCCTCAATCCCGCAGCCAAGCCGCTCCAACGAGTCGTCGCCCCCGCCGTCCTCAACGATGACCCAACTGCCTTTCCTCCCGCCAACCGCGCCCGCACCAGCAGCCCACGGCCCGCCTCACCTCGAGCAGCACCAGCAGTCGTACTACCAGGTCGCGCAAGGCGCGCGGCAGGGCGGCGAGGTCGCGGTGCCGGCGGGCTCGGCGCTCCTCGGAGGCGGTGCAGCTCTCGGCGGCGTCGGCTACGCGGCGCAGCAGGCGCCCGCACACGGGCCGCCGCATCCAGGCGTCGCTGGCAGCCTGTACACGTCGGCTGCACCGGTCCCGCTCGTTCCGTCCTCCTCGGCGCATCCTCCAGCCTCGACCGCCGCCGCACCGCTGCCCGCGCACGACGCCCTCGCCGCGCACCACCGCTCCCTCGTCGCGTACTACTGGCTCTACGCCCAGCAAGGTTACGCCGCGCCGCTCACGGCGCTCGAGGGCACGGTCGAGCGCGTGCAGCAGGAGCGCGCACGCACCGAGGCCGTCGACTGGGCGAGGTCGTGCGGCATCGTCGTCGTCGACCCGGCGGCACCTGTGCCTGCGGTTGCGCAGCAGCAGTACGCGCAGTCGACGGCGTCGGACGCGGCGCGGGCGAGGACGGTCTCGAGGCCGCTGCCGGTGGCGCCAGCTGGCGCGCCCGCAGGTCCGGCGCCAAGCGGGTCGGGCCGCCCTCTTCCTGCGCCCGCCGCACCCGCCGCATCCTCATCAGCACCACCTGTCGTCATCGGGACCGCACCGTCAGCCGCGAGAGCACCCCTTCCAGCGGCGCCCGCTCCTCCAGCCCGGCGCTCGACCCTCCCGGAGCCGCCATCACCCTTCCCTCCTCCCACGTCGTCCTCGCCGGCTGCCGACTCGCCCTCGCCAGCCGTCGCCCCCTCGCACAAGCGGCCGTTGCCCCTCCCGCCGCTCGGGCAGCTCGCCGCCGAGCTCGACTCGATGAGCATCTCGGGCTCGGCGCCGCACGACGAGGCGGCGCGGGCGACGTCGTCGGTCCCGAGCATCGCGCTCCCGGGCGAGGCGGCGCAGCCGTCGATCCCGACGTTCTCGTTCGACGGCGGCGACGCGGACGAGGACGAGCCGCCCGCGACTGCGCCGGCTGTCCCGTCGTTCTCGTTCGGCGGGCCCGACGACGACGAGTCGCCTCCGACGGCGCCTGTACCGCCACCTCGGCGGCGTGCGGCATCGCTCCATCCTCGACACGACCCGTCGCACCCGTCGCACAAGCTGTACCACCCGACCTCGGTCCTCCCCTCCTCGTCCTCCTCCAGCGCATCCAGCGCGTTCCCCTCGTCCTCCGCATCCGCCACCATCGCCTCCCTCCCCGAGGCCGGCACCCTGACCTGCACCGCCTGCGCGTCGCTCATCTTTGGTCGCGTCCTCGTCGCGCTCGGGCGCGAGTGGCACCCGGACTGCTTTCGGTGCGCCGAGGACGGGTGCGGCGCGAGGCTCGAGGTCATGGAGTTTGAGGGGACGCCGGATGACTGGGAGGGAGGCGAGGGGGCGGAGGAGCAGGATGAGGAAGGAGGAGAGGGCAAGTCGGCGGGCGAGGACCTGAGGGGCAAGGCGTGGTGCATGGTCCACTTCGAGGAGGTGCGCCCTCTCTCTCTCTCTCTCTACTCTCGCCGCGCGCACCGGTCGTCCTGACACCCTCTCGGCCACGCAGCGCTTCGCCCTCGAGTGTTACCAGTGCCGCACCCCGATCGCGTCAGCCGACTACCTCCCGCTCTCGGACCCTCTCCTGCCCCCTCGCGCGTCGTACCGCCACCCCTCGACGCGCTTCTACCACCCGCTGCACTTTTTCTGCGCAGGGTGCGGCGACCCGTTCGTCGACCCGGTGTCGTACGAGCTGCAGCGGGCTCCGTCGAGCGCGGCGGCGGCAGGAGGAGGAGCAGGAGGAGCGGGAGGGGCAGGGGGAGCAGGCGCGGGCGAGCTCAAGGCGTGCCCGTACGTCGCGAGGGACGGGCACCCGTACTGCGACCGGTGCGACCTGCGCATGTGGCGCCCCAAGTGCGCCGGGTGCCGCAAGGGCCTGCGCGAGGAGGACGGGTTCCTCGAGGTCGAGGGCGACAAGTGGCACGAGGGGTGCTTCCAGTGCTCGGTGCGCTCTCACTTCCTCTCTCTCTTGACTCGATCGTGCCGACTCGGAACTTACGACGTTGCATGCCCGCACGCAGATGTGCGCCAAGCCGCTCAACGGCATCTACCTCCTCCGCCGCGAGCCTCCTCCACCTTCCGCCTCTCCCGCCGCCGCCGCTGCCGACACCGACGACGACGACATCGACGAGCTGCCGTTCTGCGCCGAGTGCTACGACATCAAGGCCAAGGAGGAGGCCGAGGCGGCGCTCGCGGCGGCGAGGTGAGGAGGGTCGGTCGCAGAGGGGCCAGGCGAGTCGAGAATGGACACTGCGGGACCGAGCGCTCGCGGGCGAGCGCACAGCATGTGCAACGATGCGTACGTGTCGTATTTCTCGAGCATGTGCCTCGGTGGACGTCGAGAAGAGCGAGAGAAGGAGAAAGGGAGAGCGCTCGACCCCATCTCAGGTCGCCAACTTTCGCTCGGCTGGTCTCTCGATTGCGCCACGGCTCCTGCGAGCTGCTGTAACTGGACTTGCAGCAACGTGAAGGCTAGGCGAGAGCTGTGGAGACGACCGGAGCCGCTCTCGTCGAGGTCGAGGAGGAGCCCGCGCGAGGGCTCGCGCTCTGTTCGACACCACCCGCCTGCGACGCTCGACAGAGCTCACACGCCAGCTCTAGCACTACTACACGCTCCGCCGACGAGCTCACCCGCTTGCCCGACCCATCTGCGCCGTCCCTGCGCCTCCCTCGTCCTCATCGTCGAACCGGCGTCAGCTCCCTCGTCCACCCCCGCAAGAGCCTCAAGCGGTGCGTTCAGTATCTCTGCAGAACCTCGACGAGCACTGACGAGCTGCCCCTCTCCCCCCTGCCGCCCACCTCGCTCACCTACACGACCGTTCCTCCGCCTTCCGTCCCCGCCGACCCTCTCGACGTCGCCCTACCGGTCCGACTTGCTCGTCAAGCAGCCCAGAAGCAGTACAAGAACGTGATCGTCATGTCGCGCCTCAACTACAACAAGTGGGACAACCTCCAGGTGCGTCCGCCAGCTCCCTCGTCGCTCTCGGCCACGGCTCCTGCGCCTCGACCCTGAGCTGACTTGTGCTTTGCCGACGCAGCTGTCCGATGACTCGGACATCGAGGTGCACCCGAACGTGGACAAGAAGTCGATGATCCGGTCCGTCTCCCCCCCTCTTCCGCGTTCGTCGGCGAGCTCCTCACGACCCGGAAGCCTGTCACTAACTTCCTCGCTCGCTTTGCAGGTGGAAGCAGCGCGACATCCACGAGAAGCGCGAGCAGCGCAAGCTCAAGCTCAAGCAGTTCGAGACCGAGGTCCCGATGAACGCGTCGCTCATCTCGCGCATGGACTCGCTCATCGCGTCGACCCAGGCCGACGGCGCCCAGTTCGTCTCGAACGAGGTGCAGCGCCTCAAGGCCGCGCTCCCGTACCAGTACGAGGCCAAGAAGTATGCCGAGGGCGAGCAGCCGAGCGAGGACCACATGATCGTGTCGCTCCTGAGCCAGGTCATCAACGAGGCGCACAAGAAGGAGCAGCAGGCGGCCAAGGGCGACGAGGGCCGCGACGCACGGCTCGTCGCCGAGCTCGAGTGGCACAAGAAGCGCCTGCTTGACCGCCAGGTCGAGATCGAGAAGGAGAAGGTCGAGATCGCCAACGAGCAGAAGAAGTGGATCACGAGCGACGACATGCACCTCGGCTGGGACAGCAAGACGGTGCGTCCCTCGTCCTCTCCTTTCTTTCTCGTCATCGCCGTCTGCTGCAGCCTGGCTAACTCGGTTCCTCCTCGTTGCAGATGGTCTCGAGCGCGCCGACAGCTCAACCCGTCTCGGCACCTCCTGCCGCGTCGTCGTCGTCGAAGCCTCGGCAGACCAAGACCGAGACGGTTGTCGAGACGCTCAACTCGCCGGGAGTGCAGGCTGCTGCACAAGCCGAGGTGCGTCTCGCCTCTTCGTCCTCGCGTGGCGCCAGCGCACGTCGTCGCCGGCGCGGTGCTTCGGGTCTGGAGACGCGCACTGACTCTTTCCTCCCTCCACCGCAGGACTCGGGCAACTCGTCTGACGACGCCGACGTGCCCGCCCTGACCGACTCGGCGCTCGCCTTCTCCAAGCTCGCGCCGCTCGACTGGGACCGCGTCAAACAGGCCATCTCGTCCGACCCGACGCTCCTGACCGAGGAGACGGGCGACGCCCTCATGGTCGAGGCGTTCACGCAGGCGATGAAGGGCACCAGGGCGGGCGAGCAGCGCGCGCAGAACTGCATCGAGAAGGCGCTCATCGGGCAGTACTGCCGCAGCTTGGGTCGCGACGGCACGGCGCTGTTCTTCCAGCGGTGCGCCCACTCTGTCTCCTTTTCTCTCTCCTCTCGTCGATGAACGCCAGACTGACAGGGTACCTCGCACGCCCCGACAGCATGGTCAACGCCAACCACCAGGCGCTGCGCATCTTCCTCGACGACGTGCACAAGACGACGCAGCGCATCGTCGAGCGCGCCAAGGTCGTCGCTGCCGAGCGTGCGTCCAAGGCGGCGTCAGGCGAGGAAGGTGTCGAGCAGATCCAGCTCGTTGCGTCGTCGCCCGACGTGACCATCTCGTTCGAGGTGCCCGACGGCCCGCCGCCCGAGACGCTCGAGATCACGGGCGAGGGCGCCGACGAGCTCGACCCGGTCCTCGTGCGCGAGTTTCTCCAGAAGCGGTGGGACATCTTCGAGTCGTTCCCCAAGAACCTCAAGGCGGCGCTCGCCGAAAAGAGCCTCGACAAGGTCAACAAGGTGCTCGGGCGCATGAGCGTCGAGGCGGCCGAGGAGGTCGTCGAGCAGCTGCAGGAGGCGGGCATCCTCAGCTTTGAGCAGCCGGGCGTCATCGACAAGACGGGGCGAGGCGAGCAGGGGCCGGCGGCGGAGGAGGGTGCGGCAGAAGCGGCGGCGTCGGGGTCGGGTGCGGCGGCAGAAGGGGCGGCGCCGGTGAGGGAGGCCGAGGGGCTCAACCTCGACGACGACCTTGACTAGCCGGCGCGTCGCAATGCATTGGCTGTTGAACGTCCTTCTGACTCATGTCCGAGGCGCATTCCGCAAGGTGGCCCCCCGTGCGGAGGATGCGGACTGTCGGCGTGGGCGCTTCGCCGCATCCTCTCCTCCCTCTCGCTCTCGCCGCTTGTCTCCTGCCACCGATGCTTCGTGCGCCAGATCGCCTAGACGCCTAGATGTCCTCGACCGAGATCCCAGACGTGGGCACGCTCGTCTTCTTGTCGTTCAAGGTGAGCCCCCGCCGCCGCTTCCTCCGCTCGCCCCACTCTCGCCCGGCCCGCCTGACTGACCATCCCGACTGCGCAGCCGTTGGTCCGTGTACTTGTGCCCGCCGGCGTCGGCTTTGCGCTGCAGCGCGCGGGCGTGTTGCCCGGCGACGCGACCCGCAGTTCATCAGTTCTCCTCGTCAACTTCTTCCTCCCCTGTCTCCTGTTCTCCAAGGTGCGCCCCCTCTCTCGCCTCAGAAGAATCCCGTGACATGTGCGAGGGCTCACCGGCGGTCGCGCGTCCCCTCCCCCCTCCTTCTCCCCCTCCCTCCTCCCTCCTCGTCCTCGTGCAGATCGTCCCGGCATTCACGCCAGACAATGTTCCCGCCATCGGACCCATCATCCTCGTTGCCTTCTTCTACCAAGTGCGCCCGCCTGTCCTCTCATTCTCCTCAGTCGAACCTCCCTCACCCTCCTCGCCCCTCCTGCAGGCTCTCCCGTTCGTCTTGGGCTTCTTCGCTCGCGCAATCACCCCAACACCTCGCCGGTTCCGGTGGGGCGTCATCAGCAGCTGTATGTACGGCAACTGGGGTGACCTCCCGAGCGCTGTCGTCTTGTCCATCACGTCGACGCGTCCGTTCAACCCGAGCACCGACGGCGACCTCGCCTTGGCCTACGTCGCCATCTTCATCCTCGTCACCTACATCTCGTGCGTCTTTTGCCCACTCTCTCAGCCTTTCAGCGTCGCCTAACTGACTGGCGCCCCGACCCACACACAGCTACTTCCCGTTGCAGGGCATCCGCATCCTGCAGATCGACTACCGCCGCCCTGTCGACGCCGCGCTCGAGCTGCGGTACGAGGAGGGCGAGTTTGGCACCGTGCGCAAGTACCTCAACCGGCTGTTGAGGGGCATGCCGATGGCGCACGAGCTCGAGGAGGAGCGCGAGCGGCGGGACAAGCGCGAGGACAAGCTCGACAAGGAGGGCAGGGCGGCGCGTGAGGACGACGTCGGCGGCGACGAGCGAGCAGTCGGCCTCGACTCGCCTGTGCGTCCGCGCATGGCGACTTGCGCGACGCAGACGGGCCGAGAGGCCGACGACGGCGGCATCTCGCCGGCGCTCCTCGCGCCGCCGGCGCGCCACCTCGACCAGTACGGCACCGGGTTCCCGATCCTCGAGCCTGTCCCGTCCGATGTCGCGCGCTCGCACCACTCGGCCGCACCCACCTCGCCGTCGATGCATCCTCGAGCCGGGGTGCGCATCGCGCACGGCATCTGGGTCCTCATCCGGCCCATCTTCCAGTCGCCGCCCTGCGTCGCCCTCCTGTCGGCGCTCATCATCTCGCTCGTGCCGAGCTTGCGCGCCCTGTTCGTCCCGCCCAAGGACGGCGCGTCGTTCCACCCGACGGCGCCTGACGGCGACCCGCCGCTCGCGGTCCTGTACGACACGGCCAAGTTTGTCGGCGGCGCGTCAATCCCGACGGGCCTCGTCGTGCTCGGTGCGTCGATGGGCAAGCTGCAGGTCCCGAGGCCGATCGGGCGCCTCCCGCTCGCGTCCATCGTGAGCATGAGCGCCATCCGGCTCGTGATCCAGCCCATTGTCGGGTTCTACCTCGTGCGCGCCCTCGTGCGGTGCGGCATGGTGAGCGCAGACAACAAGGTGCTGCGGTTCGTCATGGTGACGCTCAGCTGCGTCCCAACCGGTGCGTCCCCCCTTCTCTCCTTCCGACTCGCCCTTCCCCTCTCTTGCGGACACGCGCTCACGCAGACCCTCTCGCTCGCCCGCAGCCACGCTCCAGGTCACCTACTCGATCCTGTTTGCGCCACCAGGGCAGCCGAACAACTCGGAGCTTGTCGCCGCGCACCTCATCCTCCAAGTGCGTATCGCTCTCTTTCGCCTCGACTGCCCGTCGCTCCTCGATCTGACGGCCTCCGTCGCCCGCAGTACATCGTGTGGGCGTTCTCGAGCGTCATCTTGACGGCGTTCAGCCTGAACGACATCTTCTAGACCCCATCTGTAGCGCTCTCTCTCTCCGTCGTCTGTTGCATCACGAGCCTCTCCTTTTGTCGTCGCCGTCTCGCTTCTACGGGACTCGCCGCGCTCTATTGTTTCAGCTATCGAGTCGCCAGAGAGCAGTTTCTCGCAGTAGCTTGAGCAAGACGGTCGAGGGCCTCGACTTTGTCGACCTCGCCCTCTCCTTCCCGCTCTCTTCTCGCCCAGCTCGCGAGCGACATGGCTGCCGCGTCGAGCACTGTTGCTCCTGCTCCAGTACCGCTACGCATCGTCGTCGTCGGTGCGTCCAGCCTCTCTCGCGGGGTCACAAGGAGGAGAGATGAGGAGGAGCGGGAGATGAGATGTCGCTCGGCGGTGACAGCAGTGCGGGGCCGGAGCGCAGCTCGCAGACTTTCAAGGAGCTCTCTCGATGGCCTCTGTGGTCTCATCGGCGCGCTTAGTGGGCGCGTGACGGCGGGAGGACGGCTCGACCCCGCGTTCGAGGCGGGAGGCGGCGACAAGGCTCGTCCAGACCGTGCAGCGCAGCTGGGAGGCCTCCAAGGCCCTGCAGCATCTACACAAGAGCTCGCGAGCTGACCCAGTCGTCCCCGCAGGCGATGGCGGCGTCGGCAAGTCGTCGCTCACGATGGCGATTCTTCAACGACCCTTCTCCGACGAGTAGTGCGTCCACTCTCGCCTCCTCTGTCCCTCTACCGAGCCCATGCACGCCGCACGCATCCTCTCTGGCCGTCGCGCCAGCTTCGAGCTCATCCAGACCTCGCCGCCCGCAGCGATCCGACCGTCGAGGACGCCTACTCGACCGCGCTCAACGTCGACGGCGTCGATTACCTCGTCGAGCTGATCGACACGGCCGGTCAAGAAGAGTACCGCTACGCGTTGGATCAGACGGCGCAGACGGGCGACGGCTTCATCCTTGCGTGTGTCCCCCCAATCCTTGTCCTCGTCTCGCGCCCGCACGTTCAAGAGCCACGACTAACCTCGTGGTCCAATCGCACAGCTACTCGATCGACTCTGCCGACTCGTTCGAGCTCCTGCCCGACTTTCTCCACGTCCTGCGCAAGGCCAAGTCGCCGCACGACAACCCGTCGGCCGTCCTCTCGCCCGAAAACGCGCCTGCCGCCCCGTTCCTCGTCCTCGGCAACAAGTGCGACAAGCCGCCCGCCGAGCGCGTCGTGACGGCACAAGAAGGCCTCGCCTTTGCGCGCCAGGCCGGCGGCCTCTTTTTCGAGACGTCGGCCAAATCGCGCGTCAACGTCGAGCCGGCGTTTCACGCGCTCGTGCGCGCGACGGCGCAGGCCAAGCGGGGGGGCGAGGGGCGAAGAGGGACGGGTGCGGCGGGTCTCCTCGGGACGCTGTCGCCCAGGTCGAGTGCGGTGGGCGGAGTGCGGTACGGGCAGGACGAGAAGAAGGCTGGCAGCGGCCCTGGGTTCCCGAGGGCGCCGACGAGGCCGAGGGACCCGAGCCTCGCAATGGACCGGCGACGGAGCTTGAGCGTCGGTGGGCTTGGGCGGGACCCGAGCACGCTGCATGACGATCGCTCGAAAGGGTGCGGCTGCACCGTGTCCTGAGCGGGCAGATCTGTCTCCCTCTCTCTCTCTCTTCTGTGTGTACCACTCTCTGCCGCACGATCTCGCAATCGTCTATCTGCAACTGCAACTATGCGCATGACCATGTTCTACTCGTCGTCGTCCTCGGTCCGGGAAGCGAGAGCCGCTCGGGCCGTCTCGAACTTGCTCCTCGCGAGCTCCTGCCAGGGCGCGACCCACAGCGAGCGCTCAAACAGCCTGAGCGCCTGCTCGTCGAGCGCGCGCTCGTCCTCGTCCGTCTCGGCCTCGGCCGCCGCACCGAGCGCGACGCCGCCGCGCATGCGCGAGCGCCGGCTGCGCAGGTGCGCGTCCTCGACGCCGGGCACGCTCGCGCGCGTGAGCCGGCCGGCCGTCTCGAGCGTCGCGAGGTACGGCGCGAGCGGGTCGGTCGAGTCGGCGGGACCGTCGACGGGCGCCGTCTGGCACAGGAGGTGGGCGATGCGGGACCGGGCGGCGGGCGTCCAGGGCGTGGCGTGCAGGGTGCGCGAGACGGTCGACAAGGCGCCAAAGTTGTCGCCCTGGAGTGCGACGACGTTCGTCAGGTCGTGCGTCGAGATAGGCGAGAGAGAAGGAGAGAAAGAGAGAAAGGGAGCGCACCTTGCTGAGGTGGTGCAGCGTTGACAGGCGCGAGATTTCCGGGTCGTACTTGACGGCGGCGTCCCACGTGTACTGCCGAGTCGTCTGGAGGAGCGCAGTATCGCGTGTGGCGATGGCGAGGGCGTAAAAGGTGCGGCGGTGGAAGAGCGGCGTCTGCTTGCCCTGCGGCCTGGAGCGAGGGGAGGGAAAGTCGTCGATACGAGCGCGCGCACGCGAGAGAGAGAGGGAGAGAGAGAGATGGGCGCAGGGACGCACATGTCGGACGAGTCGAGTAGAGCTGCGAGAGCCCGTTGCTCGTCGCCCTCGGACCAGTATACCCGAGCGAGGGCGTCGCTGACGTGGGTCGCGCACGGGCCGACCTTGTGCGGCTCGAGGTCCTCGAGCGCGCCCTCGAGCACCTGCTTGGCGGCGTCGGCGTCGTCGAGCGCGACGTGGGCGACACTCGAGCCGATCTTGCATTCAGTGAGGAGCGTGACCGACTGCTCCTTGGTGAGGCCGCCGGGTTGAGGGCGCGAGTCGAGGTCAAGGAGCGAGAGCGCCGCCTCGAACGCGTCGAGCGCGCCCTGGTGGTTGCCGGCGGCGAGACGGACGCGACCGAGGTTGACCTGGGCGATGACGTACTGGCCCTCGACAGTGGGCGACTCGTCAACCTCGTACAGCTCCTCGAGGATCGATGCCGCCTTCTCGAGCGAGTCGCACGCCGACGCGAGGTCGCCGACTTGCTCGAGGATGAGCGCGTTGAGGTGCAGCGCGTTGTGGTCGTCGGGCTTCTGCGCGAGGTAGCGCGTGACGGCGAAGAGCGGCGCTGACAGCGCCTCGACCGCCGACGGCGGTGCGGCCGTCGGGAGCGCCTCGGCCGTGGCCGACGACGGGACCGACGCGCGGTACTTGGCGAAAGCCCGACCGGCGTAGGCGATGTCGGCCTCGGGCGTCTGGCCCCCGAGCGAGACGGCGTGCTCGAGGAGGACCGACGCCTCGAGGGCGTGCCCGGCGAGGTCGGCGAGCGTCGCCTGGCCGACCCACGCCGCCGCCCAGTCCGAGTCGAGGACCTGCGCCTTGAGGAACGACTGGTTGGCGAGGTCCTCGTCGCCGTGCACGAGGTAGAACAGGCCGAGGTTGCTCCACGGGATGGCCGACCGCGAGTTGTGCTCGATCGCCCGGATGAAGCAGTGCTGCGCGAGGCGCGGCGACAGGTCGAACGACAGGACGCCGAGCGCGTTCCAGAACGTCGCGTTGAGCGGCTCCTTGTGCAGGGCAAACTTGAGGCACCGGATCGCCTGCTGGAGGACCTGGTCGCTCGCGACGGGCCACGACGGTAGCTGCAGCAGGCGGAAGTTGCTCATGGCGACGCCGAGGTCGTACCACGCCGAGCCCGTCGCCGCCTCGTTCTGCGTCTCGAGGAGGACGCGCATCTTGCACGACAGGACGGCGATGGCGATGGCGAGGCTCGAGCGCGTCGCCTCACCTGCGACGCGACGAACGGCGACGACGGTGACGGCCGACATGCCGGCGATCTTGGCGTCGACGTCCTGCTCGGCGAGGTGGTCGAGGAGGCGGACCATGAGCGACGACTGCTCGTCCTCGAGCTCGGGTTGCGGGATCTTGCTGAGGCCGACGAGCGCGTCGGCTGCGACCTTCCAGGCGACCCTCGTCGCCGTGCCGCCCTCGACGATCGACGTCGCCTCGCGCAGCGCCTCGACGAGCGACTCCTCGGCGCGGACGACGAACCCGGCGCGCTGCTCGTCGAGGCCCTTGGTGAGCGCCGTCTCGGCGAGGACGACCTTGACGCCGAGCTCGTCTGGGCGCTCGACGAGGATGTCGCGGAACGCCTTGAGCGCAGGTTCGAGGAGGCCGATCTCGCGCTGGACGTCGCCGATCGAGTACTTGGCGAACCACGAGTTCTCGTCGAGCGCGAGCGCCTTGACGAACACCTTGAGGGCCGCGATGTGCTTGCCCGAGTGGCGGTACGCGACGCCGAGCTTGATCCAGGTCGCGACGTCCTCGGGCGCGCCTCGGAGCGCGGCCTGGAAGGCCGTGACGGCGGGCGCGTACTTCTTGGCGCTGAGCTCGCTCGCGCCGATGGCCTTCCACGCCCAGGCGAGGCGTGCGGCCGCCTTGACGCCCATGCCGGCGCGGCCCTTGTTGCCCTCGACGACCCGGCGCGCGATGACCTCGACGAGCGACCACTCGCCGAGCTCGGCAAACTCCTCGGCGAGGTACCGCGCCGCGACCTCCTCGGACGGGTCGAGCTCGAACGCCTTCTGGAAGCACTTGGACGCTCGCTCCCAGTCGGGCGTCGAGAGCGAGCGGTAGTAGATGCCGAGGGAGGTGAACGCGGGCGCAAAGCCGGGCGAGGCGCGCAACGAGGCGATGTAGGCGTCGTAGGCGGGCTTGGTCTGGTCGTGCGCCGACTCTGCGAGTCGAGGTAGAGTCAGTCATGGTACGCCAGGGCGAGGCGAAAGGAGGAAGCGGGGAGAGTGAGCGAGAGGACGCACCGCCGAGCTGCCACAGGCACTCTCCTAGCCGCCACCACGCCCTGGCCCTCTCCTCCGCCTCGTCGACCTGCTCGCCCTCCTCGACGCCCTCGGCCTTCTCGATCCCCTTCTTGCTCCTCCACTTCTCCTTCTCCTCGCGCTCCTTGTCCCGCCGCACCTTGCGCTCCTCGAGCGCGCCGACGACGTCCTCGAGCTGGGCCCGCGCCTCGTCCGACTGGCCCGCACGGTGCAGGGCCCACGCGCGCTCGCTCTTGGCCCGCGTGAGCTCGTCCTGCGGCAGGGCGCCGGCGGGGAGCGCGAGGACCTGGTCCCACACCTTGAGCGCCGCGGCCTGCTTGCCCTCGGACGCCTGGAGGACGTGCGCTTTGGCGATGAGGTGGGACGGGTCGGGATGCGGGCGCGAGGTGAGGGCGGGAGAGCTCGGGGGAGGAGGGTCGGTCGCGAGGAGGTGCTCGAGGAGGCGCAGGGCGCGCAGGTGGTGCGTCGGCGGCGCGTTGTACACGAGCGAGAGCGCGAGATGCGTGTCGAGCGTGCGCCGAGACCTGAGAGAGGCAGAATGTCAGGATCGAGCGTGCCGGCGCCGGCCAACCCTCGGCCGCGAGAAGAGTGAAAGGGGGAGACGCACCTCGGCAGCGCCTGGCCGATCTCGGTCTCGAGGCCCTTGAGCACGGACAAGGCCGCCTCGGCGACTTGCAGCAGAGCGTCCCACTCCTTCAGGTGCGAGAAGAAGGCCGCCGCGAGAAGGTGCGTGACGAGCGACCTGGGCGAGCTCGCGAGGGCGTCCTGTCGAGCGAAACATCGGTCAGGTCGTGCGGGACAGAGACGAGCAGGACAAAGTGGGAGAGGACGTACCTCGACGATGTCGGCCATGTCGTCGTCGGACGGCGCAGTCGGGATCTCGTTGGTCGTCTCCTCGTCGGCGGGCGCAGCGGCGGCAGTCGCGGCGGCGGCGGAAGCCGCGATGCGCTGGCTGGTGGCGGTTGACAGCTTGGCGAGCCCAGATCTGCGACGCGAGAGGACAGGGCATGAGTGCGGGTCGCGAGAAGGAGGGAGAGGGTGTGAGCGCAGGGACGCACTCGGGGAACAGCTCCGCCTGACGCCGCAACAGGTCCCACCGCTCCCTCGGCCAGTCCTCGACACGCTCGCCGTCGGCAAACAGGTCGCTCCACTCGACCGCGGCCTCCCACGCCGTCGGCTCGGGCACGGCGATGACGACCATGCCGCGCGCGAGCCCCTCGACCTCGCGCCGGTAGTAGTCCTTGGCGCTCTGCTCGCGCTCGGCGTCATCGGCGCTCTTGGGCTTGGCCTTGGCGCTCAGGTCGACGACAGGTGCGTCGAACGGCGACGGGAGGGCGCGCAGGGTCGTGCGCAGGTGCGCGAGGAGGCGCCGCTCGACGTCGCGACGCAGCGGCTCGTCGTTGCCCGCGTCCGGGTCGTCGAGCACCTGGCGCCACAGGCCCGGAAGCTGGCTCTGCGGCAGGTACTCGGCCTGGACCTGGCGCGTCGTCTCCTCGGCCGTGAGGGCGGGACCGCCGAGACGCTGTCGCCGCTTCTTGATCTCGGCGTCGATCGTGGCCGTCTCGATGGCGGACAGGAGGGAGACGAGCTCGAGGAGGACGGGGAGGGGCGACGCCGAGTAGCGCTGGACGGTCGGGTAGCCGGTGGCGGTCGGCGCGGTCGGGTCGTAAGGCGGGAGAGCGCGAAGGAGGGCGTGCGACGGCGCCGAGGGAAGGAAGTAGTGGAGCGTCTCGATGAGCTGCGAGGGAGATTCAGAGTATCAGTAACATGTCCCTGCAAGCGCATCGACTGCGCGCAGGTTCTTTGCGCTGCCGCCGAACGACGAGGAGGGCCTGACTGACCTCGTCCTTGGTGCCGTGCTTTCTTCGGACGTCGAGGAGCTTCTCGAGCGTCTCGGCGTACTTGGCGGCGTCCTGGCTGTGGCACGGCGAGGAAATGGGGTGAGCTTGGCCGCGTGTCGAGCGCGAGGAAGTGGGGGCGTACCTGTCCGAGAAGAGCTGCATCAGGCCTTGAAGCTCGCGCGCATAGTCGGTCCATCGTTGGCGCTTCTCGTAAAAGGTCGCGAGGCCCTGCGGAACCGCGACAGGGTCAGCTCGCCTGCGCCTCGTCGTCGTCGTCGAGGCCAAGGGAGAATGGAGGGCGCACCTGCCGGGCGAGAGGTTGACTTGGCGACTGCTCGATCGCCTTCTTGTACGTCTCCTCGGCCTCGTCGGGCTGGTCGAGGTTGAACAGGGCGAGCGCGAGAAAGACGCGGCTGAGGTCGATGATCGGGGAAGGAGGAGGAGGGGGCAAGAAGAGCGAGGGTGAGCTTTCCGAGCTCGCCGAGCTCGAGAGAGGACCGCAGGACGTACGCGTTGTAGTTGGCGCTCTCAAAGTCGAGCACGGCCCTGTGGGAGAGCGCGTGGTGAGCTTCATCAGGGAGGCGGAGATGGGAGGAGACGCACCTCGCGTTCTTCTCGACGCCGGCCCAGTCCTTGACGCCGAGCGCCTCCTTGAGCGCCTTGAGCTTGGGCTTGACGAACACCGACATCGAGCTGCTGCCCTTGAGGGCTGTGGAGCGAGAGCCACCGACCCTCTCCTCGTCGCCAACTCGGCCGCCAACTCGAGAATCGCTCGCTCCTCTCGTTCTGCTGCGTGCTCTCCGTGGCAAGGCCGTGACACTGAACAACCCTTTGCACTGCAACACTTGCGACTCTGAGACGACGACGACGATCTAGATCTGCGCGACGGCGTGCCCGTCTCCTCGCGGGTCGGAACCTGCCGCCCACGCTCCCGACGGCAGCTTCTGGATGAGCTGCCCGCGCCCAAACATGCTCCGGTCGTGGCCCGTCAGGAGCTCGACGTCGTGGCCCATGGCGCGCAGCTGCTCGACCACCTCGGGCCGGACCCCCTCCTCGAGGTACACCTTGGTCCCGATGTCGCCGTCCTTTGCCGCGTCGTCGGGCACGTCGGCCGAGATGCAGAACCGCGGGGCGTCGAGCGTCGACTGGGCGTTGCTGTTGGCGTGCAGCATGTTGAGGAGGACCTGGACGTGCCCTTGAGGCCTGCGAGCGCGAGCGCGAGCGCGGCAAAAGGTCAATCCCTCGTTCCTCGACGCACGACAGGACCAATAGAGAGCGAGAGGACGCACTGCATGAAGCCGCCCATGACGCCGTAAGACGCAAACAGCGAGTTGTCCTTGGTCCGGGTCGCGAGCGCCGGGATGATGGTGTGGTAGGGCCGCTTGTTCGGCTGCAGGCGACGACGCAGAGTCAGTCTCGTTGCGCGCACGGATCTGCCACTTGCAAAAGAGAGAGAGAGAGAGGGACGTACGGCGATGCAGTTCGGGTGGCCCTCCTCGAGCGTAAAGTTGCAGCCGCGGTTCTGGAGCGTGAAGCCGGTTCCTTTGGGGATGGCGAACGTGCCGAAACCGGCGTAGTTCGACTGGATGTACGACGCGGCGTTGCTGTTGACGCGAGAGGAGGCGAGGCAGGGTGAGGAAGGTCGAGGAGGATGAGAAGGTCGAGGAGGTCGGAAAGGGGCAGGGAGGAAAAAGGTCAGTGCCCTGCTCCTGACCGAGACGCCGCGAGGTCGACGCACCCGTACTGGTCGACCACCTCGAACAGGACCGTGTCGGACGAGGCGATCGGCGTCCCCTTGTTGATGACGGCCGTCGAGCGTTTCGGGTCGTACAGCTCGGCGCGATTGGCGAGGTACGTCGGGGACAGGAGCTCGTCGACGGGCACGCGCGAGTGCTCTGGGTCGGCGACGTAGGCCCGAGTGTCGGCAAAGGCGAGGCGGATGGCCGAGCTGCGCGAGGGAGAGCGGGAGAGAGAGAGGGGGGGGCGACGAGGAGAGGTCAGTCGGCTGCGGTCGGGTCGTCCTCACTCGGACCCAGAGAGAGAGAGAGGGAGACGCACATGAGCGGGTGGAACCATTCTGCCGACAGGTGCTCGACCTTGTTGAGGTCGACCTTGCCCTGGTCCTGCATGGCCTCGAGGATCCCGAGCGCGATGAGCGCCGTCAGGCCCTGGCCGTTGGGCGGCGTCTCGTGCAGAGTGACGCCGTTCTCGCCGCCGTAGCTGATCGAGATGGGCGTGACGGGCGTCGTCGTGTGGTTCTTGAGGTCGTCGAGCGTCATGACCCCGCCCTTGGACTGGACGACTGCGAGCGAGGGCGACGAGGACAGGGTCAGTCTTGGTGCGACGTGCGGCTCGCTCGGCGGCTCGTGACGGCGACCGAACTCGTCGAGACGGGTTGAAGAACGCCGAGGCAGAGGAAAGGGGACGCACGCTCGACAATCGCCTCTGCGATCCTGCCCTCGTAGAAGCCCTTCTTGCCCTTGTCGGCCACCTCGCGGAACGTGCGGGCCAGGTTCGAGTTCTTGTAAATCTCGCCCGGTCGCGGCGCGTGCGTCTTGCCCGTCTCGGGGTCCGTGATGAGCATCTCGGCAAAGTTGGGCGACTGCTTGAGGAAGACGTCGTGGTTCTTGACCCAGCTGTACGACGAGATCTCGTGGATCGGCACGCTGTGGGACGTAGACGAGTCAGGGGTTCGTCCTCGTGCGACGGCGGGGAGGAAAGAGGGTAGGACGCACCCGGCCTCTGCCATGCGAATCGCGGGCGCGAGAACGTCCTTCATCGAGACCTTGCCGCTGCCCAGCATCTCGATCGTATCGCACCACACGGCGGCGCACCCGGGCACCGTGACCGAGTTGATGTCGAGGAACGGGATCTCGCGGCCGGTGATGCCCAGCTCGCGCACCTTGTCGAGCGTGAGGGCGGCCGGCGCGCGGCCCGAGCCGTTGAGCGCCTTGACCTGCTTCGAGTCCGAGTCGTAGAAGAGGCAGAAGCCGTCGCCGCCGATGCCGCACGAGCCCGGCTCGGTCAAGTTGAGCGCCGCAGAGACGGCGACAGCTGGGTGGGGAGGAGGAGGAGGGTCAGCTCTCTTGTCGGCGAGCCGCAACTGTGCAGGTGCGCTCGGCAGCGACACCTTATCGTTTCGCGCGTGCCTCGTCGCCCACCCACACGCAGACGGAGAGAGGAGCGGGACGCACCTGCATCTGCCGCGTTGCCGCCCTGGCGCAAGATCTCGAGGCCGGCCTCGGCCGCGAGAGGCTGCGAGCACGCGACCATGCCCTTGGTGCCTGTGTGTGCAGCTCTCGAGGTCAGGTTCGGTGCATCTGCGGGGCGTGGGAGTGCGAGGGAGAGGGAGGCGGGGCGCACCGTAGACGACGCTCCTCCTCGACGCGAACGGCTGGTACGGGACCTCGAGGTCGGGCAGGTCTTGGTGGAGGTAGAGCTCGCGCTGAGAGGCCATGGCTGGTAGGTGTGCGGGTGAGGGCGAGTCGAGGAGGGAGGAGAGCGGAGGGACGAGCCGGGCGAGCGAGCGAACAGGGGACCGGCTCGTCCGGGTGCGGCGCGTTGGTGCGAGGCGAGGAGCTGAACCCGCAGGCCCGACGGCACTTGGGGCGATCCCAGATAGCGGGCCTTGCTCGACGAGGCAAGTGCGAGCTCGCGCTGCGGGCGAGAGAGCTCGCGTCCACCTCGCCCCCCTTCGACCTCACCCCGCTGGCCACAGCTCTCTGCCAGTGCTGCAGAGGCCACGAGCGATGCACGGCAGCAGCCTCGACCGGCTCGAGCAGGTCGGCAGCCGCTCCACGCCTCGCGCTCCTCGCCGCTCCTCTCGCTGCTCAGCCTCGGGCCATCCGCGCCTGCGTCGCCCTTTGACGGCCTCGCCGGTCGCTCCATCGGCGCGCAACTCGCCCGCACGCGCCAAATAAAGGCTTCGGTACAGAGCCGTCGGACCGTCGCGCTCTCCGCACGGTTCCAATCACCTGTTCCCTCCACCGGGCTATCTTGTCCCTCTCGCGGCCCTTGGACCGGCTCTGCGGCTCTCTCTTCCTCTTCCCCACCCTCACCAGCTTCGACACGACCCGCCTCGTCGACCCTCCCCTCCCTGCAGCCCTTCCTCGCCCATCCTCGACCCATCCTTCCTCCCTACCTCTCCTTCCTCCTCGTCCCCCGCACGCGCCTCATGGACTCGCTCTCGTCGACCACCTCGATCGACAAGGAGAAGGGCGTCGCTGGCGGCACGAGGGTGACGCCGGCCGCAGCGGCGCACCCCGTCCTCGCCGACGTCGACGAGAAGGACGAGGACGAGGGCGCCCACGTCGCTGGCTACGAGCGCAACGAGTACACGCAGGAGGAGGCCGACGCCGTCAAGCGCAAGCTCGACCGACGAGTCATGCCGCTGCTCGCCGCCGTCTACTTGTGCGTCCACGCCCTCTCGCAACTTCCTCCTCGGGTCCGCTCTCCCGACGCTGACTCCCCATGTCACGAGCAGCTCGCAATTTCTCGACAAGAACTGCACCTCGTACGCCGCCATCATGTCGCTCCCGATCAAGGGCGAGCACTACAACCTGGTACGTCGCGGTCCGCCGCAGGCGCGGTCCCAGAAGGGTTCGCGCCGCCTCCTGCGACGCTCTCGGGCCGCTCCACAGGACCAAATACTGACTCTCTAGTCTCTGTAGGTGTCTATGGCCTTCTACCTGGTACGTCGCAGCAAGTTTGTCGCGCCTGCCGCATCGTCGAGGTCGTCGCGCCGCAGCGGGTCCCGGCTATGGCAACCGTCGCTCACCTCCTCTCGTGTTCTACAGGGCTTCCTCGTCTTCGAGATCCCGACCACCATGATCTCGCAGCACTTCCCGCTCGCAAAGTAGTGCGTCTCGATCTCTATCCTTCGCCTCGCACCTGGCACTGACGCCTGACCTCCTGCAGCCTCGGCGTCAACATCCTCATCTGGGCGACGTACGTCAGACTGTTCTCTGCGTCTCGAATAACTGAGCTGACAATGTGTCGTCCGCAGCGCCCTCACCCTTCACGCCGCCTCGGCCAACTTTGGCTTCTTTTTCACCATGCGCTTCATCCTAGGAATGGCGGAATCTTGCGTGAGCCCGATTCTTATCACCATGGTGGCAGCTATGTACCCGAAGCAGCAGCAGGCGAAGCGGTGCGTCCTTTGCCTCCCTCGCTCGACGTCCTCCCTCGACTGTCGAGCCCCCCGTCCTCGCCGCCGTTGAGCTCGCTACTGACACATTCTCGCCCCTCGCCTTCAGGATCAGCATGTTCTACATGTGCAATGGGTTCACGAATTGTATTGGAGCCCTCATCGCGTACGGGGCGACGTTCTACGAAGGCCACGCGATTGCGCACTGGCGAATCGTGAGCCCGCTCGTCTCCTCGTCTCCCGCGTTCACGACATTCCTGACGCCTTCTCTCTCGATGCAGCTGTACATCATCCTCGGCGGTCTCGCGTTTGTCGTCGGCGTTTCGGTCCTCGTATGGCTGCCCGACTCGCTCGCGACGGCGACCTTCCTAAGCGAACGCGAGAAGGTCGTCGCGTTCGAGCGAGTCCGCGACAACCAGACGGGCACACGCTGCAAAGTCACGAAGCGGTACCAGGTCGTCGAGGCGTTGACCGACCCAAAGACGTGGCTCCTCCTCCTCTTGACGGCGCTCTCGAGCATCCCGAACGGCGGGCTCGCCGCCTTCTCGAGCATCATCGTGCGCCCTCATCTCGCCTACTCTCTTCCTCCCGCCGGCGCTCACCTGTTGCACTCGCAGATCAAGAGTTTCGGCTACACGTCGCGCGAGACGCTGCTCTTGCAGATTCCTCGCGGCGTCATTGCCGCCCTCACGACGATCACGGTCTGCCAGCTCTCGGACCGCTTTGGCACCCGCATGCTGCCCATCCTTCTCGCGGTTGTCCCGACGGTCATCGGCGCCGCGCTCTTGGTCGCCTCCTCAGGAGGCTCAAAGAGCATGAGCCTCGCCGGCATCTTCCTCGTGCGGCCGACCCTCGTCTCTTTATTTTTCGAGCGCGGCCTGACTCTCGCTCCCTGCAGGCCGAGACCTACGGCAGCGCTCTCGCGCTTCAGTACGCGTGGACGGCGAGCAACACTGGCGGCGCGACCAAGAAGTCGACCGTGAACGGGCTCTTCCTGTGCGTCCCTCTCTCAGAAGCGCTTCCTGGCGACCGTGACTGAGCCTTTCGCCCCTCGCGCAGGTCCACCTTTGCTCTCAGCAACATCATCGGTCCGTTCATTCTCGCCTCGAGACGGTTCCCGTTCACCTCGACCACGCCTGACCGCTCGAACCCTCTCTCCAGGCACTCAAATCTTCCGGCCGACCGACGCTCCCTCGTACACGCCGGGCAAGATCGCCATCCTCACCCTGTTCGCCGCCATGATCCCGACCGTCCTGGTGATGTACGCATTCACCCAATTTCTCAACCGCAAGAAGGTCGCGCAGCTCGCGCGACTCGTCGAGGAGCACGGTTGGTCGCCCGAGGAGGTCGACGCGCAGCGCTCTCGCGCCGCCATGGAGGACAAGACGGACCGCGAGAACGTCTTCCAGACCTACGTTTCGTGATTCCTCTGCTTCCGCCCCCTCCCTTTCCGCTCGTCCTCGCTCGTCGCCGTCACATAGATCTTCTTTCGTAGTCTTCCGGTTCCTTCTTCTCTCTGTGCGAGTGCGAGATAGCTTTGTGCCCCGTGCTTGTGAGCTTGCGGTCGCGAGAGAAAGCTCCCGAGCGAGTCGTTCGTCCGAGCGGGCGGTGTGGGTCCAACTCTCTCGGCCGCACCTCGCTCTGCCCCGCTGTGGAGCTTTGGCACAGGTACACGAGCTGTACCTCGTGTCCCCCAAGCCCTTCGACGCCCGCCCGCCGCCTCTCCCGCGCCTTCACCGCCCGCCCACGTCCTCATCACCCGCGCCGACCGCGACCTCGCCCACAAGTCGCCATCGCAGTCCAGTGGACGGTCGACTGCTACCCTGCGGCTTCATAGCGCTCTCGCATCCACCTCGCCCCGCCAGCTTGTCCGCCAGACCCGATGCCGCTGAGCCTGCCACCTCCCTCCCCCGATGACGAGCACCCGCCCCGCCATCCTCACCACAGCCCACGGTCGACGACGAGGGGTACGTGATGGATAGTCTGGGTGTGCTCGCGGTGCGTCGCCACGTTCTCTGTCCTGGCGCGGTGCCGCCGGTGTGGCTTGCACGCCCGTCACGCCTCGTCCTGCACGAGGGCAGCACCTCGAGCCTCGAGCGAGCAGAGCTGACATATGCCCGTCCACAGAACCCTTCATCAGTGCCGGCGGTAGCCGCCACGCTCGACGTCCTCGATCCCTCCCCTCGCCAGTCGCTCCTTCCGCCGTCCTCCGCCTCCTCTTTACCTCCCTGTCCTCGCCCGCGTTCAGGCGGGTCCCTCTGCCACCCTCTCGTTCTACCTCGTTTTGCCCATCTCGACCACCTCGCCCACCTCGACCGCTCGTCCCGCGTCCTGCCACTCGTCGACACGCGCGCCCGCACCCGCCCTCCCTCGCCTCGACATCCGCCGCCTCCCGCCCAGCTCTAGTGGCTACATCGACCCGACGCACACGTCGCGCCTGTATGCCGAGCACGACTCTTGCGAGCCGGGACCGGCCAACGTCACCTGCTTCCGCCGAGAACCGCCACCTCGACCATCCTCTTCGCGCCGGCCGGGCTCGCAGCGGGTCCTCCAACATCGGCTACCGCGTGTACGACGAGCCCGCGCACGACGACCGGGTCCTCGCCACCTCGACAGTCGCCCGCCGCCGCTCGCCTCCCTCGACCGCCGACCATCGTCTCGCTCGAAGGTGCCTCGCCAGACCGACTCGCCGCCTCAGCCTCTTTGCGCCCTCGAGCGGCAGCTTTTCCTGAGCGACCTCGTCGACGCTGTCGAGCGGCGGCGCATGGACAGCCCGAGGCGGCGCGCGCTCGCAGGAGGGATCCGGGCGAGGGAGGAGCGCGGGGCAGACTCGGCCGGCTTGTCGCCACCTGTAACGATCCTCCACGAGCCCTTTTCGAGTCGAGAGAGCGACCCTTCTGACGGGATCCAGAGACCGCGCGAGAGCTTCACGAGAGCACGAGAGAGCCGGCCTGTGCAGCTCGAGAGCGCGAGCTGCAGTTTCGCTCCCTGCCACTCTGCCTCTCCCACATCGGCTGCGCCCGCGCCAGAACCTCCAGCCGCTCCGAGCACAGTCTGCCGAGCGTGCCGTCGCGCACCCGCCCTCCCGACGGTCCGCCGGCGGGCGAGGGCGAACCCTTCGTTCTCATCAGCTCCCCGCACTTCTCGCCTTCTCCACAGCTGTCCACCCGCTCGAGCAGCGCGGCTCAGCCGCTCCGCAGCTGCTGCGAACTTATCCGCCACCGTCGGGCTCGTCCCTACGCGCCGTCGGCCCCTCGAGCTTCTGTCCGACGCGGGCTACGACGCTGCCGGCGCGCCCACGACGACCTCGTCGTCGTGCGGCTCGTGGCTATCTAGAGCTGCGGGAGGCTTGGCCAGCTTTCGCGCATTGCCTATCGCGCCGGCCCTCTGCCGCCTGAGCCGTCGGTACGGCCTCGAGATCGCGCTCGCTCGCCCTCCTCGTCTCGCGCCGATTTCGACGCTATCTCGCTCTCTTCCTCCTCTCCCACGCCCACACGACTCGCTCGAGAATGTCGGCCCTCGTCAGCATGAGCTCGAACACGACCGAGGCGACCTGCGACAAGAAGCTCGAGGAGGGCGTCGGCCGCACCGTCGCCGCGACCGACTCGCCGCTCGCGGCCATCTCGGAGGAGGACGGCGACGAGGGCGCCAAACTCGCTGGAGACGTCGCAGTCGAGTATACTGAGGAGGAGGAGAAGGCAGTGCGGCGCAAGGTCTTCATTCGTGTGCGTCCTCATCCCCTTCTCTCTCTCGTCGGCCCTCTTCCCACCTCCTCGCCCGCCCTCTTCCTCTTCCAGGTCCTCATCGACCTCTGACATCCTCTTGGGCCATCAGATCGTACCTCTGCTGGCGGCCGTCTACTTCTCGCAGTTCCTCGACAAGGTGCGTCCCCTCGGCTCTCGACGAGTTGCGCAGGATGCTCACGTCCTTTTTCCTCCAGGGCTCGGTCAACTACTCGGCCGTCATGGGCCTCCCGTTGGCGTCGAAAGGCGTCGAGTGGAATCTGTCCGTGATGGCGTTCTATATCGTACGTGCCGCTCGCAGTCGCGCGCCTCGACGTCGTCGCCCGACTAACCTCCTCCTTCTTCCTCAGGGCTTCGTCATCTTCGAGATCCCTCAAGCTCTACTCGCTCAACGGTTACCGATGGCCAAGTGGCTGGGCTTCAACATCTGCATTTGGTCAGGGTGCGTCCCCCTGCCGCCGCTCGGTCCCCCTCTTTGGGGCGCACCTCCTTCCTGCGCCTCTTTCCTGCGCCCGCTTCCTGCGCCTCGACCTGACCTCGCACACCCTTTCTCTGCAGCGCCCTGTGGCTCCATTCGGCGACGTCGCTCTTCGCGCCCTTCTTTGTGTTCCGAATCGTCCTCGGCGCCGCAGAATCCGTCGTCAGCCCAGTCCTTATCGCCAACGTCGCGGCGTGGTTCAAGAAGGACGAGCAGGCGACCGTCGTCGGCCTGTTTTATGCCATGAACGGAGTGGCTACCGTTGTTGGAGGCGCTCTCAGCTACGGCCTGAACGAGTATGAGGGTTCGGTGGCCAGGTGGCGCCTCGTACGTCGCCTCGCCGGTCTTTCGCCTCGTCTCTCCTTCCCAGGAACAGAGACTGACACCCGCTACTGTCCCCGCGCAGATCTACTTCGTCCTCGGGGCCATGGCCACGGTCGTCGGCGTCGCCGTCCTCATTTTCCTCCCCGACTCTGTCTCCTCGGCCAAGTTCCTCACGCCTCGCGAACGGCAGATCGCCCTCGAGCGCGTGCGCAGCAACCAGTCGGGCACGATCTCGCGGCGCTGGAAGAAGGTCCAAGCTCTCGAGGCCTGCCGAGACCCCAAGGTCTGGCTCCTTTGCGCGCTCATGTTCGTCATCTCGGTCCCGAACGCCGCCATCACGTCCTTCACGTCGATCCTCATCAAGAGCTTTGGGTGCGTGGCCGTCTCGTACGCCGTCTTGGCCTGTACCGTGCACTGAACCTCCTTCTCCTCTCCCTTCCCCTCGACTCGTCGCAGATACTCGTCGTCCGAGGCGCTCTTGTACAACATGCCGTCCGGCGCCGTCCAGCTCGTCACCACTCTCACGATCGCAGTCTGGGCCGACAAGCGGCGCGTGCGCATGCTCCCTTTCATCGGCGCCGTCATCCCCTCAATCATCGGCTTCGCGCTCCTCCTCGCCTACTCAAAGTCGGGCAGTACCAAGGAGCACAAGACCGTCCTACTCGTCGGCGTCTTCCTGTCGCAGACCTTCGTCTCCTCCCTCTCCCTCCTCTTCTCGTGGTCGGCGTCCAACATCGCCGGGTCGTCGAAGCGTTCGGTCGTCAACGGCGCCCTGCTCGTCTCGTTCGCCGGCGGCAACATCTGCGGCTCTCAAGCTTTCCAGCAGAGCACGGCGCCTCTCTACCTGCCGGGTCCGTCCTCTGCCTCGCGTTCTCTTCGTCGCCGTGCACCCTGACTGACTCGTCGCCTCTCCTGGCAGGCAAGATCACCCTCTTTGTCCTCCTCGTTCTCCTCGTCCCCCTCGCGCTCGTCCTGCGGTGGTACACGCTCCGCCTGAACCGCAAAAAGGCCGAGCAGGTCCGTGCGCTCGTCGAGGCGAACGGCTGGACCGACGAGGACCTGCAGCGGGAGAAGGACGCGATGGCTTTCAAAGACGCGACCGACTCGGAGAACGTGTTCTACGTCTACGTGCGTCCCCTTTCTCTTCTCTCGAGCCGTACTCGACCAAGTCGTCGACCGGAACTGACCTTCTCAAACCGCGCCCTGCAGGTCTGCTGAGCTCTTTCTCCGTCACTCTCTCGCCCTCTCTCTCCCTGTCCATGTCTCTGTCTCTGTAGATCTGGTACTCTGCGCAGTCGAGCTAGAAGTTCAAGCTCCCAATCCTGAGCGAGCCGTCCTGTCTCCCGCGTTTCCTGTCGCGCTCCGGCTCTCGGCGCTCGCGCCCTCTCGACTCAAGCGCACGCCGAGCATGACGATCGAGGACACGCTGTACAGCACACGAAAAGCTGCACTACGAGACGAGCGCGTGAATGTCCTGCGCGGCCGGCAACGCCGAGCTCCAGTTCCAGAACCTGCGGGGGCGCTCGAGCTGTCAGTACGAGGCCGCACGAGAGAGAGAGAGAGAGAGAGAGGGACGCACGAATCGGTACCGATGAGCGACTCGATCGTGAGCTCGTCGAGCTCTGCCGGCCCACTCGCGCCCGCCTGCGCCGCCGCGCCCTCGCCGCCGCCGCCGCCGCCGCCACCGTTCGCCTCGCCGTTCCTCGCCGCGACAGCGAGCACGTCGCCCGAATCGGTCGCCCAGAACCCCGCCGGCGGCGTCGCCGTCTCGCCTGTGCCGACCGTCCCGCCGGGCGAGAACCCGAGCCCGAGCGACCAGTACGGCGACGGGGCGTGCGGCGGCGCACCGCGAGGGCTCGGTCGCGCCGGCGAGCTCAGCGCGTCGTCCTCGCGCGGACGCTTGGCGGCACCCGAGGCGGCAGCTGCTGCTGCGGCGGCGGCGCCCGTCGCGAGGGGCGCGAGGAGCGACGGGTGCGGGACCGTCATCTCGGCCTCGAGGCGCTCGACGGCGGCCTTTACGGCCTGGGCGCGCTTCTGCTGCGAGCGGGGCGCACAGCTGAGGAGGGCGGCCGAGTGGCGCGCGGCGGCGAAGGCCTGCTTGATCGACGGGAACGACTGCTGCTGCGACGAGGCCGACGTGTCGGGCGACGACGCCGACGTGAGCTGCTCGGCGAGCGCCTTGCTGAACGAGGCGGGGAAGGCGCTCGACGGGTACGCCGGGCAGTCGTTGGACGCAAAGGCCGTCGGGACGAGCTTGATCATCTTGAGGAGGAAGAGGGCGCCGCTCTGTGTGCGAGAGGTGCGACGTTGGCGACTGAGCCCGACGAGATAAAGAGACAGAGAGAGAGGCGGGACGCACCGAGAGAGAGATCATGGTCATCTCGGCCGAATGAGCGACCTTGTGCGCGCGGTGGATGCCCTGGATGCGGACCGCGGCGTCGAGGGCGGTGCGCAGGAAGGGCAGGTGGATCGGGAGGAACTCCTCGGCCGACGTGATGTCGCGCAGGCCGAGCGTGTTGACGAAGAAGCGGGCCGACTGTGTGCGCGCGTGAGAGGCGAGGTGTCAGTCACTGGCGAGGAGGAGGGAAGAAGGCGAGGGAAGGGGACGGACCTGGAGCATGACCGAGAAGCTCGCGAGGACGTATCTGCCGGCCTCCTCCTCCTGCGTACCGGCCCACCCTGCCCACGTGCCGATCCACTGCTCGAGGTGGCTGTTGGCCTGCTGCACGACCTGGATAGTCTGCTCGACCGACTGGCGCTGCAGCTTGAGGAACGACTCCTGGACGACGCCGAGCACCGTGACGAGCTCGGACTGGGCAATGAGGCGGGCGTCGACGGGTCGCAGGGCGGGAAAGGCGAGGAGCAGGCGCGACGAGGTGACCGAGACGTCGATCGTGACGAGCGGGCGGCGGTTGAGCGAGAACGAGAGCCTGCTCGAGTGACTGTGTCAGTCTCGCGCATGGACAGGAGGGGTCGAGGGAGAGAGGATACGAGACGAACCAGATGTCCTGGGCGTAGAGCGTGAGCCAGATGCGCGCGGCGGGCATGAGCTGCTCAAAGACCTCGGCGGCCGAGGCCGGGGCGGACGCCGACGCGACGAGACGCTCGAGGCACTGCGGGTTCGAGCGCGTCAGGGCCGGGTGCTCGTGCGACTGGGAGGCGTAGAAGAGGGGGGACGCACACGAGGTAGGTCGAGCTGGAGGGCGAGCGTGACGGCGTGACCGGGCGGTGCACCTTTTCCCTGCAGACAGGTGACGGGCTCGAGTGAGCGGCCTCCTTCTCAGGCAAGGCGCGAGGGAGTGAGAGAGAGGACGCACGAGCCATGCGCCCCAGACGAGGCTGCCCTTGAGCTGCGGGAGAGAGAAAAGGTCGGCACGCCGTTCGAGAGCGGGAAGATGAGGCGGCTCACGTCGTCGAGCGTGACAGGGCGCTCGGCGTACAGCGTCTCGCGCATGAGTCTCAGCGCCTCGGTGCGGTTAAACTCGACGAGGGCCGTCTCGTTCGAGTGGCGCGACGCGACGGCGCTGCGGGAGAGTCGGTACGTCGTCAGGGCCAGGTCTCGAAAGGGGCGAGACGACGAGGATCGGCCAGGGACGCACATGATGCAGTGCATGAGGAGGGGCGAGCGGTCCTTGACCTGGCCGTAGTGGTCGGTCGTCGGCACGATGTAGGGCGCCAACGGGGCGTACATCTCCCAGAACCTGCTCGTGCGCGTGAGGTCAGTTTGCGGCACTCGATGTCGCGACGAGAGAGGAAAACGAGCCCACGCACAGGTCGAACGCCTTGCTGGCAAAGGCCTGGAACTCGGCGCTGTCGCGGCGATGGCGCTTCTTGCCGCCGTCGGGCGGCGTGAGGCCGTCCGAGTCACCGACTGCGGGCGACGAGGAGCAAACTGTCAGGCGACGCAGACGACGAGAAGAGAGAGGGGACGCACCCTCGCTCCATTGGCTGTCGCCCTCACGACGCTCGAGGCGGTCGAGGCGCGCCGTGTGCGAGCTTGCCGCCGACCGGATGAGGGCGAGCTCCGACTCGAGGCGGGCGAGACGAGCTTCGAGCGGCGACATCGAGCTGTTGCTGGGCCTGCAGTCGAGGATGTCAGGAGGCTGTCCTGGGACTGCGAACCGGCAAAGACCTCTTGAGAAGGGCGGAACTCGCCCTGCGACGGCGGCGTTGGCGGCGGCGAGCGGCGCACCCTGAACGAACGGCTTGTCGTCCATCTTCTTGCGCAGGTCGTCGGTGCTGATGCCCTCAAAGACGCACTCGATGCCGCCCTCCCTGCGTGCGGCACACGACGAGGGTCAGTCCGGCCGGCCAAATTGGCCGGAGCAGGCCTCGCGGCAAAGGGGGAGAGAGAGAGAGAAGGCGCACCTGCATCTGCGGCAGGGCCAGCTCTCGAGACCGGTGCAGCGAGCCTTGCTGCGACGGCAGTACAGGCACGCCTTGGCCGAGCGCTTGACGGTGGTGCTGATCGGGTCGGCGACTCGAGTCGGGACGTACGAGCCAGCGCGTTGTTTGGCGGCGTCGGGACCGACCGAGCCGGCGATGCTCGTGCGCGGTGAGGTCGAAGCTGATGGCGGGCCCGCGGTGGTCGGTGCAGGGTACGAGGCCGGCTGAGGGTGAGGGTTAGGACCCGGGGGAGGAGCGGCGTGATGAGGAGGAGGAGGGGGAAAGGGAGGCTGCTGCTGGTGCGCCGGGTGCGGCAGCTGGGCGTAGCTGCCCTGCGGCGAGCTGTCGTGCTGCATGACCGGCAGCGAGCGTGCTGTGAGCGGCGAGGCGAAAGAGAGAAGGCTGGCCCGTGGACGAGCGATCGAGGCGAACACCAAGTGTAGGCCAGCCGGCTTCTCTCGCTGCGTGCCCCAAGCTGTCCTGGAGCTGTACCACCAACTCTCTCGAGCCCCCGTCGAGAGCGACTTGCCGCGGCTCTCGTCCCGCTCCGACGGCTTGCAAGGCGCGTTCAAGTTCGACGGGTCCGAGTTACAGGAGGAGCAATCTAGCAGACAAGGGAGAGAGAAGGGGAGAGACAACCGCAGACACTCGAACACACAAGGAGAAAAGGGGAAAGGGGAAGGAGGGACGAGAACACCTCGCCGTCGACCGCCTTCTCGACTCGACCGACGACCTCGACGCCGCGCCGCACAGCCTCGCGACACGCAGCAGACGACGACGACGAGAAGGAGCGCACACCGCCTCACATGAGGGCGCACCCGCCCTTCTCGGGCTTTTCCGGCTCGGGGTTGAGGTCCTTCTCGATCTCGGCGACGACGGCGTCAAACACGCGCGACACGTTCTCGTTGGTGCGCGCCGACGACTCGAGGAAGACTGTCTTGCCCCACGACTGGGCGAGCGCTTGCCCTTCCTCGCGCGTCACTTGCCTGTGGACGAGGGGACGAGGTCAGGCGGGGTGTCGGCGGGGCGGGGCGGGACGAACGACGAGAGCGAGAGGGGGGGGGACGCACCTCTGCACGGCGAGGTCCGACTTGTTGCCGACGAGGACCATCGGGACCGAGTCGCGGCCGGTGTAGTTGAGGATCTTTTCGCGGATGATGGAGCACATCTCGAACGACGACCGCGACGAGACCGAGTAGACGAGGATCCAGCCGTGCAGGCCGACGGCGTGACGGGACGACAGGATCGAGAACTCGTCCTGTTGCGGGGCGCACGAGGACGGGGGCGAGGGTCAGTACGGACGTCGTGCGAGCGACCAGGGTCGGCCGACCCAAGTGGGGGAACAGAGAGGCGGGGCGCACCTGACCGGCCGTGTCGACAATGTCGAGCTGGAAGTCCTGGCCCTTGTACTTGACGGGCTTGGTGAACGTGTTCTCGATGGTCGGGTAGTAGCTGTCGACAAAGTGCTGGTCGACAAACTGCACCGTGAGCGACGACTTGCCTGCGAGGGGGTGGGGGCGACGGGCGAGAGGGTGAGCTCGTCTCGCTCCGGCGGCAAGGCCCTCGCAGGATCGCTCGAGGGATGGAATGGCCGACGCACCGACAGACCGCGAGCCGAGGAGCGCCACCTTGCGCTGCTTGGGACCGATAAGCTTGCCGGACGGAGTGGTCATGGCTGGGCGGCGAGTCGAGGCGAGGGTGTGCGGGCTGCCGAGGCCGAACAGGTCAGTGTCGCTCCCTCATGCGAGGCCGTGAGAGGGATGCACGCACAGCTTGAGGGGATCTGGGCCGGGCGCGAGGTCGGCGAGATCCGAGTCTGCGATCGAGGAAGACGAGGTCAGCGCACAGTCCCACAGCGCACGGCGGCCCCGCCCGCGCTCGCCCTCGAATCGCACAAGTTTCTCCAGGGTGTGAGCGCCCAGCGCAGCCCCCAAGAGGCGGTGTCGTGGAGGGAGGGACGGGAGGAGATGAGGTTGCGTCGGCCGAGGTGGAGTGACGACGGCGGGCTCAGGGTGCGGCGGCGGTTGACGGGTAGATAGAGGAGGCGTATGTGCTCACAGGGTGCTCGATGATCTGGCCTCGCAGCAGTGCGAGGAGCGTGGTGCCAGACGACCCTGCGGCCGACCTCGACGGAGATGAAGGCCGGCTTTACTCGGTCCTCCTCCCACCACCACGAGGCGCAGAGAGAGGTCCGTGCAACAGCTTTACTTAGCTCGCACGCACCGAAGCCACCCGGCCAACAGGCCCGCCCGCGAGAGGCTCGCGCCCTCTCCTCCTCCCCGGTCGCCGCCGTCCAGCGTCTCTCTCTTCCGCGCTCCTCACTCTCGCTTTCTCGTGCTTCTCTGCTACCATGGCTAGCTTCTGTCAGACCATGCTCGAGCGCTACGTACGTCCCACCTTTCTCCCGTCCTCGTCGTCGACCCGCCCTCCTGACCACAACTCGCTCCCGCAGGCCGACGACGTGCGCATCTCGACCGAGCACCCCTTCCTTGCCGCAGCAGGTGCGCTCAGCTTGTCGTCGAGGAGGTCTTCGACTGGGCGACCCGAGGCAAGGACGACGAGCTGACCTCTTCCTCCCCCTCCTTTCCCACCTTCACAGGCAAGCACGAGCTGTCGAGCGACAAGCTAAGCGAGTGGCTCACTCAAGATCGCTGCTACGCCCTCCATGGATGTGCGTCGTCCTCTCGCTCTCTTCCCCTCTCCCTCTCACTTGGGCTGCACGCATCTGCGCCCGCCTGGCTCCGTCGAGTTCAGGACATTGACTGCTTCTCCTCTTTGTCGCAGACCCCAAGTTCATCGGTCAGCTCAGCCTTTCCACCTCTTAATCGTCTCAAACCTGCTCCTGACCTCGTCACGCCAACAGCCTCGCTCATCTCGGCGCTCCCGCTCTCGTCGCCGGCGCACCAGTCGGCCTCGCAGTCGACCCTCGCCCTCCTGTCGTACGCCATGTCCAACATCCACCGCGAGGTCGGCTTCTTCGACAGCCTCAGGCCGCGGTTCGGGATCGACCTCGAGCGGCGCCCGACGGCGACCGACGCCGGCAAGCTCGAGGGCGGCCTCATGCGCACCAACACGCGCGCGTACGTCAGCCTGCTCATCGCGACGGGCGCCGAGGCGAGCCGCAACGGTGGCGGCATGGAGGAGGGACTCGTCCTACTCTGGACCATGGAAAAGGTGCGCACGGCCCTCCTTCTCTCGTCATCGCACCTCCTCCCCTCTGGACCTTTCCCTCCCGGCGCCGAGGGCCCGCTCGTCACGAGTCGTCCCGCACGCCTTCGTACTGACTCTCTCGACGTGCGCAGCTCTACAACCAGGCCTGGCTCTTTGCCGCGCAGCACACGGCCTCGCCCTCGGGCACCGATGGCAAGACGTCGGCCGCGCTCACCGAGCTCATCGACAACTGGACCAACGCCGAGTTTGCCGACTTTGTCACCAAGTGCGAGAATGCGGTCGACGAGCTCGCGCTCAAGGAGGGCACGCCCGAGTGGAACAGGGCGGAAGAGGTGCGCTCGAGCCTGTCCACTCTCTCGAGGTCGTCGTCGCACGAGTTGCTCACCTTTGTCTCTCGTCCCGCGTCGCACAGATCTTCAAGTACACGCTCTACCTCGAGCAGCGCTTCTGGCCCGACATGTAGGGCCCGTCGCGCTGTCGCCCTCGTCCCCCCAGCTCTCGCACCTGTTCCTCCCTCGTTCCTCGCGCCCTCTCTCTCTCTCTCTTCCAGCCTCCTTGAGCAGATGTGCAACTCAGTCTTTACAGTATCTGTCCACTCTGAGAACGGGCGCGAGAGACGCTCCTCGCTCCCTGTCATCGGCCCTCGTCTGGCTTCTTCTGCTCGCCGTTCGTCATGCCGATCGTCTCCTCCTTGCGCGCTGCGTTCTCGGGCGCGGGCGTGACCGGCCCCTTGGGCGTCACCATCTTGAACATGCACACGTCGCGGATGGCGGCGTACTGCGGGCGACGAGAGATTCAGTCGACGAAGAGGGAGGGGGAGGAGGTCCGAGCGAGACTTGGAAAGGGGCTCTTGTCTCCCTCGCTCGTCCTCAGAGAGCGAGAGCGAGAGACGCACATTGGGGCCGCCGCACCGGGCGATCGGCACGGTCTTGGAGATGTCGATCTCGCCGTTAGTGAGGACGCCCTCGTCGATGTGGATGCCGACGACGCGGCCGATGACGACCTGCGAGAGGGGCGCTCGAGAGCGATTCAGTGCCGGCGCCTCGTCTGGGAAGGAGAGAGAGTGTGCGCTCACGTCGACAGAGGCACCAACGCCGTCTCCTGGCAGGCGCAGGGTCGTGTGGTGGACGCACTCGAACTGGCGAGGGGTCGAGGACGAGGTCAGCTCGTCAAATCGGCCCGACGCAGATAGAGAGGAACGCTCGACGCACGTTGATGGGCGACGCCTTGACGAACGGGCATTTGACGAGCGAGCCGTAGCCCTTCTCGAGGCCGGCGAGCTCGAACTCGTCGACGCCGTACGGCACCTCGGTCGCCGACTTGTTCATCTCTTCTCGCAGGTCGTACGTCGCTGTGTGTAGTGTGTGCTCGTCAGGGTCTGGAGCCCGAGAGAAGATGCGACGAGACGAGCGAGAGGGAGACGCACCGAGAGACCAGCAGAACTCTTGCGTGCGCTCGGCGTTCTCGACGTTGTCCTTGCGCTCGCCGCTGTCCTTGACGTTGGCCGCAAACATGACGTACGGCGGCGAGAACGTGAGGTGCGCAAACTGGCTGTACGGCGCGAGGTTGGCCGAGCCGTCCTTGTTGAGCGTCGAGATCCAGCCGATCTGCGGGCGTGCGAGGGAGGCTCCAGGGTCAGGTCGGGCCCCGGGCGCACGCTCGGTGTGACTCTGGAGCTCACAGGTCGTGGTACGACGCAGCTGCGCGGCGATAGAGAGGTCAGCGAGCGTTCGTGCGGAGGAGGAGCGAGAGTGGACGCACGACTTGAACGGGTCCTTCTTGAGGCCATGCGGGGTCTTGCCGGGCTCGTAGAACATGCTGCGCTCGTCGCTGGGCGTGCGGTGGAGGAGCACAAGCGTGTGCGCGACGAGGAGAGAGCCGTCGTCGACCGCACGTGCGGGCGGGTCCAATCGGAAAGGCTGGGCCCGGATTTCGAAACCGGCGAGACATCCTCAAAACGGCGTGCCGTCGGCTCCCAACTACGTCGTCTTCGCGCCGTCGCCTCACGGGCGGCGCAGACGCTCGAACGAATCGTTGTGCAGCAGCAGGGGCTCTCAGTGACGTGTGGCGCTGCTGGACGGGCAGCCGCAGCCAGCGTCGGGCGCCTTGCGCTGCGGTCAAAGGTGCTCTCTCTCGAGCCGCGAATCCCTCTCCTTCTTGCTCGGTGCGGCCTACAGGGACTTGCCCCGTACCGCCAGAGACGATTCGAGGGCAGTGGAGGTGTCACGAGCGACAAAGGCAGCCAGGCGCGACGACTCGAGCGCGACCTTCCCAAGTTGCGCGGCCCGCCCTTCCTCGCTTTCTACTAGCCTTCTGGTGCCGCTGCTCGATCGGAATGCACAAACCAGGTCCACTATAGTCAGGCAGAAGCAGCGGAAGCAAGGGCAAGTCGATGAGGAGGCGCTGGCGCCCCCTTCATCGTCCCCTTCCTCCTGGGCTTCGCCTCGCCTTGCCCCCGGCCGCTGCTGCTACCGGCGACCGCTCCAGGCAGCAAAAAGATGACCGTACCGCGAATTGAACGCGGGTCTCCACAGCAAAGTATGCCAAATGGCTCCTCCACAATGTGGTGTCTTAACCACTGGACGATACGATCTTTGGTGAGGGTGGAGCCGACAAATAACGTTGAGATCCCGTACGCTGGCTGGCTCTCTCATCCGGCGTCGTCGCGCGAACAAGACGTGTCCGTGCGATGCGGGTTCCCGCGGCCTCACCTCGGCAGGGACGCCTCGTCTTTTGCGCTAAAACGCTCGCCGCGAGTCTGACGTGTCGCCGCTCGCGTGAACCGGCGCAACTGGCGAGCAGGGAGCCCGCACCCTCTGGCGCTTCCGCAAGCCGAGAGCCGCTGCGCGGCTCAAGCGGCGCGCACTAGCCCGAATGTGCGTCTCGCGCTTCTCCGGACGCCGGCTCGACCCTGCGAGCGAGTTCGCGAAGAACGGCGCCAGCACAAGGCGCGATGACAGAGAAACGGAAGATTCTCGGTTTGAGAAGGTCGCCCTCGAGCACTGCGAATACGGCCGCCCAGGGGCTTCGCGCGCTTGTTCCGGAAACCGCGACGTGTAGCTGAGTACTTGTACCGTCGAACGCGTCGCCCTGTCGCCGGCAAGGAGGGTGTCGCACGCTGCGGCAATTCGTCTGGTTCGCAGTCGTGCGTGCCGCCAGCGCTGCTCGCAAAGTCGTTCGCCCGTCGTGCCTCCTTTGCGTCTCTCGGTAAGAAGCGCAGACCACCAGCTGTACAATTTCGCTGAGCCGACGCTTCGAGCTGCGGTCCGTGCACGAAGGGGGAGTCACCCTGGCCGCCCAAGTCGCGAGCGTCTCTGCCCGACGCCAACGCCTTCTTTCGTGACTCGCCAGCTCGACAGCAGACGCAGAAGGCGGGCACAAACTCTCGAGACACTGGGGAGCGCGACGGAGAGAGGCGGGCGCAACTCGGGAGCTGCTCGATTACAAGCGGGGAATACAAAATCGCTAAGGGCGAGAATCGTAATGTCGGAATAAGGCGCCGACAGACTAAGAAATTGCGGTCGGGGGAGGCGCACAGCCGACCCCGCACTCTTGGAACGCGCCTCGACGCTTCCCGTCGCCCTCGTCCTCCACCACCCGGCACCATGCTGCTGCGAGCACTATGCGCACTGGCTGCGTGTGCATCTGTGGCTCGCGCTGAGCTCGACGAGACCGACTACACGCCAATCGTGCGTCCCCCCACCTCCTCATCATCTCCCGCTCTGCCCACCCGTGAGCCTGACCCACACCACCACGACGGCGCAGGTCGTACCGCTCGCCGTACGGAGCCCGTACCTCGGCGCGTATCTCACCGGGCGCGAGGACAAGACGCTCGTGTCGATGGACCCGCACTTCTGGACGACGCTCCCTCTCGGGTGGAAGGGCCTCCTGCGTGTCGACGGGCACACGTGGAACTGGATGGGCAACCTGACCGACTGTGAGCACTTCTCCTCCCACTCGCCCTGCCCGCAAACACCCCCTCAACTGCCGACCTCGACACGAGCTGACCTCGCCGGACGCGACATCTGCAGGGCCAGCCGCGACCAACGCCTCGATCCGCCATACTGCCTCCGAGTCGGGCTTTACCTTGACCAACGACCCGCCGACTGTCGCCCTACACGCCTCGTTCCTGTCGCCCGTCACGCCCGCCGACCTGTTCCGCCAGTCGATCCCGTTCTCGTACCTGCACCTGTCGGCCGAGTCGCTCGACGGTCAAGCGCACGACGTCGACGTCTACTCCGAGGTCAACGGCCTGTGGCTCGCCGACGAGGAGCACGAGGAGCTCGAGTGGGCGGTGCACGAGCCAGAGCGAGGAACCGGTCGAGACTTTGTCGGCGTGCGCGCACGGCTCAAGCACCAGCGGCCGTTCGAGGAGGCGTACCACAACGACCTGTGGTCCGACGAGTGGGTCTCGACCGACCGCATCCTGCAGGGCGACCTGTGGTACGCGGCGCAGGACGTGCCCGGCTCGACCGTCCGCACGACGTTCGCCGCCGGCGACGACGCCATGACGACGCGGCGCCTCTTTGCCGAGTCGGGCTCGCTCCGCAGCGTCGTCAACACGACCCAGCCTCGCCCTACCCGTACTCGCCGCGCCCACAACGCCTCGCTCGTCCTCGACGAGCCCGTCTTTGCGCTCGCGCACTCGTTCGGCCGCATCTCGCCCGCGAGCCCGCCCGAGGACCGCTCGGCGCTCGTCGCCATCGGCCACGTGCGCGACCCGCTCGTCCAGTACATGACGGGCACGAGCGGCCACAAGGAGGTCGTTGCGCTGCGGCCCCTGTGGGCGTCGACGTTCGTCGACGTGGCGCACCTCGTCGGCTGGTTCCTCGTCGACTACCCGACGGCCAAGCGCATGAGCGACGAGTTCAACGCCAAGCTGTACGCCGATGCGCGCGCCGTCGAGTCGCAAGAGTACGCGCACGTCGTCGCCGTGTCGACGCGGCAGATCTTCATGGCGCTCGAGGCCGTGTGGGACGAGTCGGTCGAGGGTCGCGACGCCAGGGAGGGCCTCGTGACGTGGAGCCCGTTGACGGGCGAGCCTGTACCGACCATGAGTGCGTCCGACCGCCCTCTCAGATCTTTTCGCCGCTCTCCCCCGAGCTCTCCCTGACTCTCGCCCCCACTGCCCGCAGTCATGCTCAAGGAGATCAGCTCGAACGGCAACTGCCAAACGGTCGACGTCATTGCGCCCATCCTCCCCTTCCTCCTGTACGCCTCGCCGACGCTCATCCCGCTCCTCCTCGAGCCGATCCACCGGTACATGGCGTCAGGCTTGTACGTCCCCGTCCCGCCGACGCACGACCTCGGCGACCACTACCCGAACGCGACGGCGCACAACGACTTCCTGCACCCGAACCTGCCGATCGAGGAGGCCGGCAACGCCCTGTGCCTCCAGCTCGCCGGCATGCGCGTCGCCGACCCGTCGACGGCGGCGCTCTCGGCGCACGAGCGCGTCAGCCACTGGGTCGACAAGGCGTCGTCCAAGGCGTCGAGCTGGGCGGGGAGGAACAAGGAGGCGCAGCGAGTCGGGTGGGAGGCGGACGTTGGGGTTGGGAAGGACCACCGGCGAGAGGGGGCTCGCATGGCGAGGGCGCAGGCGAGGGAGCGGTACGCGCTCCTCAAGAAGTGGGCCGACTACCTCGAGGAGGAGAGCTTGTACCCGGGCGACCAACGCACGACCGACGACTGTGCGCCCTCGCCCTTCTCTGTATCTCTCTCGCCGACCTCGAGCGCGACTGACTCTCCCACCCTCCTTCGACCCAGTCTTTGGCTCGGCCCCGAATCAGACGTCGCTCGTGCGTCCCCTCTCTCTCGTTCCTCCAAGCGACTGACGAAGCCGATCTTCCCTCGCAGGTCGTCAAGGGCATCATGGGCCTGCGCGCCATGAGCGAGATCGCGAGCGACCTCGGCGAGACGGCCGACCGCGACTACTACCTCGTGCGTGCTCGCCTCGCCCACCTCTCACGGCCTCCCTTTCGACGCAGACCCAGCTCATCGGGACCTCGCGCTCGCAGGACGTCTCGAACCGGTTCCGCGACACGTTCCTCGACATGACCGTGTCCAAGGACGGCACGCACATCCTCGGCACGTACAACAACCAGTCGAGCTGGGTCACGCATGTGCGTCGAGCTCGTCGTCCCAGCCAACTCGAGAAAACCTCGCCCTGACTCGGGACCCCCTCTCTCTCTCGCTCGCAGTACAACCTCTACTTCGACAAGTTGTTCGACACCAAGGTGTTCCCCGACTCGGTCTACCGCATGCTCGACGCCTTTTACCCGACCGTCGCACGTGCGTCTCGTCTCTCCCCCTCGCCCTCTCCTCCCTCGTCGACCTCCTCCTGACCCTCCTGCACCCGCCCACCACAGAGCCCTACGGCCCGCCTCTCGACTCGCGCTTCCCCGACCGCGCCAAGACCGACTGGCTCGCGTGGGCCGCCGCCCTCTTCCCTCGCTCGTCCCCCTCGTCCTCCTCCTCGCGCACCCTGTTCCTCGACGCGCTCGCGCGCTACTTTCGCCAGGACCGCAACGCCGTCTTTGGCGACTCGATCACGCCGGACGAGGGCTGGTCAGTCGGGTTCCTGAGCCGCCCCGTGGCGGGCGGGCACTACTCGCTCCTCGGCCTCGCCGTCCTCGCCCAAGCGCGCGCCGACGCCGCCGCCACGACCCTCCTGTCGCGCTCGCGCTCGAGCCTGAGCCAGTCGCTCCTCGCCCTCGCGGCACTTGTCGCGCTCACTGTCGTCGCGCTCGTCGGCGCGCGCGGCGTAAGGCGCTGCGTGAGGCGCCGGAGCGGGTACGTCGAGCTCGGCGGCGGGCGGCGGCGCGCGGGGAGCAGGGGGGCGAGCCGGGTGAGCGTGGACGGGGTGTGGGGCGTGGGGAGCCCGAGGAGCGTGTTTGAGCTGGCGGAGCTCGAGGACGAGGGGGACGAGGGCGCGGGCGAGGGCGAGGGCGAGGAGGAGAGCTGGAGGTTGAGGCGGCCGCCGCAAGGGGGCCTGAGCGCCAGTGCGGGACACGGCGGCAAGCGCAGGGACTAGACCGAACCGAGCCGAGTAGACCTTGCTCTCTCTCTCGCGTTGCGTGTATCTCTTGACGAGCTGTATCGGACTCGCTGCGACGAGCGCGGCGAGTGAAGTGAGAGCTAGAGCGCGAGAGCGGGATCGAGCACGACTAGGTCGCATCTCTTCGGTACGAGAACGGCACGACGGGTACAGTGCAATAGCTGACGACGAGCCTATCGAGAAAGAACGAGAGAAAGTAGTCCTCGCGCCGAGCGCCGGCAAGAGAGAGGGAGAGGGAGAGGAGCGAGGCGCTAGTCGGCAGGGGGGAGGGCGGGGGGCTGCGCAGGAGAGATGGGGGTACGAACGACATGGGGAGGGAAAGGCAAAGACGGAGGTGGTAACGACAGTAGGAAACGAGGAACGATGGGCGTGCGAGACGAGGAAGGGGTGGGTCCGCTCCTCGAGCTCGTTCTCGCGCGCGCCCTGTCGCTCTGGTGGTACAAGCCGCCGCCGACGCCTCGACGACGACGACGACAACGAGGGAGGGGGGGCTGCGCGGCTCAGAACGGCGCCGAGTTCTCGTTGCCGGCCGTGGTCGACGACTGGCCGAGGCTCGACTTCTTTTGCGGCTGCTGGCCGGCCGCCTGGAACGACGACGAGAGCGACAGCGGCTTGCCCCTGCGGGTGGTGCCAAGGTGTCAGTACGCGTGTCGTTCGCAGACCACGAGCGCGCCCTCGAGAGGCGGGTCCCGAGGGCGCCCGCTCGAGAGAGAGAGAGAGCGAGACGGCGCGGACGCACTTGGCAAAGTGGCGCTGCTTGCTCTGTGCGAGCTTTTTGGTGCAGGGCGACACCATGTGGTCGGTCGGCGACTGGAACGACGACTGGCTGTCGAGGGTTGGAGCCGAGCCGGGTTTGTTGAGTGACGACGAGGGGGAGGGGGAAGGCGAGGTGGCGGCGAGGGCGAGGCGAGAGGGAGTGCACGCAGGTAGACAGTGCGAGTGGGAGAGTGAAGGGGAAGAAGGGGAGCAGTCAGTGCCTGTCCTTCCACGAGAGGGCCGAGGAGCGAGGCTCGGTCGAGGGAGGGAGGAGGGACGACTCGGAGGGAAGGGGGGGAGGGAGACGCACCCGCTCGCGGCCATCTTCTTCATGAGGAAGCCCTTTGCGCCGAGGTTCATGGCCGAGTGCCCCTGCTCGATGGGCCCGGTCCCCTGGGGCAGCTGCGCCTGGTCCTGGGGGGCGACGTGCATGGGCGCGATCGACTCGGTCGGCGAGGGCGCCTGGTGGTGCGCGGCGGGCGAGGCCGTGGTGAACTCGAAGGTCGGGGCCGACATGGTGCGGGTTGGGGCTTGGGGTGTGGAGAGAGAGAGAGAGAGCGAGAGAGTGAGGGGGAGGAGGGAGAAAGAGCGCGGACAGCGACGAGCGAGTCGAGAGGTTGAACGACGCTCGACAGCAGCCCTCACCGCCACCGCCTTCTCTAGCTGGGCTGCCGGTAAAGGCCACCCTCGTAGCACACACCAGTACTCTGCACACATTCGTCGCCACACAGCCACTCGAGACGACGCGAGCTTGCGCCCCTGAAGCCGGACTCGGCCGCTCTTCTTCTTCGACAGCTCGCTCTCTCGAACGGACTCAGACTCAGACTCGAGAACGACAAATGACAGCAGACTGGTTGCAGGTGCGCACGCGCACATGCAAGGGCAGGGAGGTACGAGTAAAAGGGGGCAAGCTGCGACGAGGACGGCAAGCGCGAGGGGAGGGGAGCTAGAGAGGGGCAACGAAGGGGGCGGACGGGGCATCTCAGAGAGGGAGGGGGAAACACGAGGGGAAGAGGAGGAGGGGGACCGGGCGAGAGGGAAAGGGGGGGAAGAAAGGGCGAGCAAAAGAAAGGGCCTCCTCACGCCCCAACATGCACCGTCGCCAGCGACGGCACAAGCACCCCCTCGACCTCTCCCACCCCGCTCCCACTGCCGCTGCTGCAGCGCCGGCCGCCGCTCGCCCGCAGGCTCTCGATCGCCCTCGCGCGCATGCGTGACGAGAAGTTGGTCGCCTCGCTCAGGTCGGTCGGCGGGCCGCGAGGCTGCCGCACGGCGTAGGCCGTGCCCGGGACCGGCGGCGGGGCGTAGCGCGGCACGGGCGCCGGCGCCGGCGCCGGCGAGGGCGAGTGCGAGGGTGCGTAGGTCGAAGCGTGCGGCGACAGGACGGCGTGCGAGTCCGACACGGAGCGGTGGCCGTACGCGTCGGCCGGCGCCGCGTAGAACTCGCCCTGCGACGGCGGCGGCGCGAACGACGACGAGGCGGGCCGGGCGCGACTCGCGACGGCGACGCCGGCGCCTCCCTTGCGCTGCTCGACTGCGTGGCCGAGCCCGACGAGCGCGTCGAGGTGAGACCGGCGGCGCGCCGCCTTGACACCCTGCTGCTGCTGCGGCTGCTGCTCGTGGCGCTTGGCGACGTCGAGGCTCGCGTCGGGCGACGAAGGGCGCGTCTCGCCGCTCTCGGACCCGGACGAGCTCGTGTCCGGGTAGGGCTGGCCGGGCGCCGACAGGATCAGGGCCGGCGGCGGCGGGCTCGCACGCGGCTGCTGCTGCTGCTGCTGCTGGCCGTAGAGCGGCGGCGTCGAGCGATGCTCGCGCGACGCGCTCCTCGACTGCGGCTGCGACTGGGCGCCGGGACGAGGTACTGCCGGCCCGCGACCGTGCGGCGACGAGCTGCCGCCGCGCGAGCGCTGCTGCTGCTGAGGCGCGTACTGCGCCTGCTCCTGGCGCTGCCGGCGCGCGAGCGCAGACGCGACGAGCGGGTTCTGCGCCTCGTGCGCGCCGCTCGTCGGGGCCGGCGCGAACTGCTGCTGCTGCTGGGCAAAGCCGCGGCCGCCGCCGGCGGCGTGCGGGCCGGCCGAGTACGGGCCCTGGTGCTGCTGCTGGTGCTGGTGCTGGTGCTGCTGCTGCTGGTGCGGCGCCGGGGCGTAGTTGGCGATTTGGGGCGCGGGCTGGGCGTGCGCTTGACCCTGGCCCTGGCCCTGGCGCTGCGCGGCGAGGAGGCGGTAGGCCGCGTCGCGCTCGAGCTGCTGCTGGGCGACAATCTGCTGCTCGATGGTGCGCTGCAGGCCGGCGAGCTCGGCGAGGTAGGCGCTCTGCGCCTGCTGGAACTCGGCGGCGGCGGGCGCGAACGCGGCGGCGGCGGCCGGGTTGTGGTACTGGCCTTGCGCCTGGTGCATGTTGTGGTTCTGGTTGTGGTTGTACTGGTGGTGGTACTGGTTCGGGAGGGGCGCCGAGCGGAGCGACGACAGGAGGCGAGCGCGGTGCTGGTCGAGGGCCGGCGGCGCGTGCTGCTGACCGCCGAGCGCGAGCGGCTCCGGGCGAGGGCGGGCCTGGTGGTTCTGGTGCTGCTGAGCGTAGTAGTGGCTCATCGTCGTAGGGGCGTGGCTGGTGCTGGTCCTGTGCGCGTCGACGAGGGACCGGAGGCGCGTGTGATGGGGGGACGAGTCAGTCTCGGTGGCGCGGCCTCGCGCAGGAGCAGAGAGAGAGAGAGTGGACGCACGTGGTGGTAAGGCTACAGAAAAGGGTTCGTGGCGTGGACGTCGAGCCGGCTCGAGCGTGCGGGTGAGGGCGGAAAGGCGAAAGTGGGCGAGGCGAGCTGGGCGGGACGAGGGGGCAGACGGGGCCGGCGGACGAGGGTTGCGAGGGGTGCGCGGTGGAACGAGGCGGAGAACGAGAAAGGGAGAAGGGAAGGCCGGACACGGAGGAGAGGAGAGGGGAGGGGAGGGGGGAGCGTGAGGAGGGAGGAGGGAGGAGGAGGAGGTGGACGAGGGCGAGGCTGCTGCCCGAGTCGGGACACGCCTTACTATTCGCAGAGCGCGCGTCAGATCGTAATCCATCCTTAAGCCTCGAATACAAACCGGTCCGCGCCGCGACCTCGCCCTCGACGAAGCTCCTCTCGCAGCGTCGGTCAACTCTGCTGCTCTCCTCGAGTCAAGCAGCTCGTCAAGATCACACTCCCTCTCATGAAGCTCGAGACCGCTTGCCGAGAGAGCGTTGCGAAGGTGAGGTCGTGCAAAGAGACAAAGAGGACACTGCGCGCTCGTGCGCCGGCCAACCGACCGTAAGGCTACATGGATCGTCATCCAGACGACAAAGGGTATGCGGGAGGGATAGAACTGCTGGGGGGTAAAGCACAGAAGAGGGAGGGGCCACTCGACGACCGGGACGAGGGAGGGGGGGACAAAGTACAGGAGCCGGCTCGGCGGCGGCGGGGCGACGCGCTCAGCTGCGGAAGTGGCGCAGGATGAGGGTGGACGAGGCGTGCTCGGTGTCGGTGATGACACGGCGCAGTCTGCGGGGAGGGAGGGAGTCAGGTCGAGTCGACTTGGGAAGGTCGAGGAGGGACGGCGCTCGAGAGACGCCTCGCCCGAGAGCGAGACGCACGAAAGAGAGAGAGAGAGGACGCACTCGAAGAGCATGATGTCGCCCCACAGGTACCCGCCAGGGAGTGGCGGCGTGTTGATCTTCTCCATCGTGTGCTCCTGGCCACGCATGAGCGCGCCCCACTCGTCGACGCGCACCCGGCCCCGCAGGCTCGTCTCGTCCGTCGACAGCTGCACCTCCTTGACGCGCTCCTTGCTCCCGATGCGCTCCTTGACCCGGTTCAGGAACCGCGCCTTGCCGAGCCGGCGGTTCGGGCGCACGGGCGCCGGCCGCACCCGGTCGGCGGCGGCGCGCTCGCGCGGCGACGGCTTGTGCATGTGGACCTGCTGCACGGCCGCCTGGGCACGGTGCTCGTGATCGCGCACGGCAAAGTGGAACACGTGCTCGAGCTGCTCCTCGGCCTCGGCGCGGTGCGCGGCCTCGTTGAGCGCGGCGGCGACCTTGCGCGAGATCTGGTCGAGGGCGGCGACGCGTGCGGGCGACGTCTGCTTGAAGTCGGGCGTCTGGTGCAGGGTGCGCCACAGGAGGGGCGTGTCGGGAAAGGCCGAGCCGAGGTCGGCGAGGGCGCGAGTGAGGCGGGTCGAGTACCACGACAGGCGCTCGGGCGACAGCTCGTCGTGCGGGTCGGTGCCGGACAGCTCGTCGAGGGCCGCAAAGTGGCGCAGGTCCCAGAAGCCCGACGAGACCTCGATCAGGTCGGGTTTGGTGCGCTTGAGCGAGTCGAGGAGCGGCATGACGATGTGCGACAGGCGGTCGTCGACGGCGACTGTAGAGGACGTCGAGGATGCGAGTCAGGTCGTGCGCCTGTTGTAGAGGGAGAGAGAGAGAGAGAGAGAGAAGGGGGCGCACCTGGAGGGTAGAAGTGCGGGTCTTGGAGGAGCGACTCGTGCTCAAACTCGACGCGATTGGCGAGGCCAAAGTGGAACACCGTGACGACCATAAAGTCGAGGTCCTCGAAGTAGCACACGCTCGGGCGCGTGCCGTCAAAGTTCTCCTGGTTGGCGCCGGGCAGGAACTTCTCGTCGATGCCGTTGACGAACCGCGGCGGCGACAGCGGATGGTCGCGCCCGATCGTCGCAAACTTGCCGCCGGCGAACCGGCAAAAGTCCTTGTTGTGGTTGCGCTCGACGTGGTCGCCGAACAGGAGGACCGTCTTGCCGTGCATCCACGCGAGCGGCGCGGCCGGGTTGCGCGACGCGCGACGACCGCGCAGCGGGAGCTCGAGCTCCTCGGGCTCGTCGTCGACGGTCGCGTTGACGTTGCGCGAGGCGCGCAGGGCGGCCATGTAGGCGGGAGGGGCGCACGACGGGTCGTACGGGATCCACCGGTTGTGCTCGGGGACCTTCTTGTCGACGTGGATGCGGCCAAACTCGGCGTACGGGTTCTCGCAGCTGTCGGGACATCGAGGTCAGTCACAGGTCGACGAGGCCGATGAGAGACTGAGAGAGTGGGACGCACGCGGTATGCTCGAACGAAGCGACGCCGAGATCCTCGAGGACCTCCTTGACGCCCCACCAAGTCGCCTTGCCGCGCCCCTCGAGGAGCGTCAGGCCGACGAGTCCGCCGAGGAAGAAGAGCGTGACGGCGGCCGACAGGGCGGCGCTGACGTTGCTGCGCTTCTTCCACCACGCGGCGCGTCGCGGGTACGGGAACGGCGAGTACAGGGGCGAGTCGCTCGCGTCGTGCGCAAAGCTGTACAGGCGCGCCTTCTCGTCGAACCCGGTCGACGACGCTGGCGACAGGTTCGAGCGCGGCGACAGGTCGTCCATGCCGGCGGCGTAGCTCTGCCGAGCGCGGTACTGGGCGACGCCGATGTCGAGCGAGGCGTGTCGCCGCACGCGCGGGTGCTTGGACGTCGAGAAGGCCTTGACCTCGACGAGGTTGCGCAGGAACTCGGACGAGCTCGGGTTGGCCGAAGGAGGGGCGTTGGTCGACGACGCCGACGAGGTGGCTGGAGGAGAGGGAGACGGGGCGAGGGACGAGTTGCGCTGGTGGACGTCGCGGCTCGCGCTGTCGTTGGCCGAGCTGACGCCGAATGCGACCGAGGACCGCTTGCTGTCGAGCGGGTAGGCCATGAGCGGCGGCGCGGCAGGTCGAGGTCGAGAGAGGCGGCGGCTCGGGAGGCGGTGCTGGCGTCGACGGCTGGCGACGAGAGAGGCGGGAGGTCCGGCGCAAGGGCGTGCGAGGGCGCGTGTGCTGGAACAGAGAGTACAGGTGCGTTCAACGCTGCTGGTGGTGCGAGAGGGAGAGGGCTGGACGAGGACGGAGGCGGCGACGCAAGGTCGGGTCGAGGCTGACGACGAGCGGGCAACGGCCACAAGCGTCGATTCGAAGGTTGGAGCTCGGCTCGACGGGACCCAGAGCGATCTGCGTCTCGGCCCTCTGCCTTCATGAGGCGGGCGAGGGCGTCGCCGTCCAAGGAGGTGAGGGGGCGAGTCGCGCCGAGTCGGAGCGCCGCGTCGGGAAAGAGTGCCGCGTCGGAAATGAAACCGGCTCGTGCGCCAGGGCCAAGCTTGGTCGTGCAACGAGGCTCCATTCGCTGCGTTCGTAAGCTCGTGCGGAGCGAGCGCCGGCGGCCGACGACGGCGAGGTCGACGAGTGGACGAGGTTCGAGCGCTCGAACGCCGGCCGATCTTCTGCTCCCGTTGCTCGCTCTCGTGCGCCCGTCCATATGCATCTGTCGCACAGCCGGAGAGAGAGAGAGAGGGAGGTCGTTACAAAAGTCGTGCGCGGTCTACTCGAGCGGGCGCCGACGTCTACACCAGCTCGGTCGGGCCCTGGCGCCAGGTGCGCACCCTGAGCGCCGACAGCGTGCTCTGCGCGCTCCCGCGCGTCCCGACAAACCCTGCCGAGCGCGCCTCGATCGCCTGGTCCATGACCTCCTTGTCCCACCGGCCAAAGCGCTCGCGCACCTCGAGGTCGTCGTAGTCGAGCACCGTCCACCCGAGGTTGGTCAGCTCGCCGAGGAAGGCGAGGTCGGTCACGTCGGTCGAGACGACGACGTTGAGGCTCCTCGCCGAGTGGCGGTGCTCGCGCGACTTGCGGCCCTGGCCCGTCGCGACGAGGTGCCGCACGCGGTCGACGGCGCGCTGGTAGTCGACGAGGTTGGGCGTGCAGCGCTCGGGCTGGTTCAGGAGGCGGCACTCGCTCGCACGCGCCTGGGCCGAGATGTGCACGGCGAGGAACGGGTGCCGGTGCCCGAGGAGGTGCGCCGCGAGGTCGCCCGCCGTCTCGTGCACCTCGGGCGCAAAGTGCAAGTGCTTGCCGTGCTTGAACCACGCCGTGTGATCGCGTGGGTCGAGGTGCGTCGTCGAGTGCTTGGTCGTCGGGTGCTCGGGCCGGTACAGCGAGTGGTCGATGCAGAAGACGTGGTTCTCGGGCGTCGCCGAGGCCGCCTTGGAGATGGACGCGTCGTGCTTGGCCTGGTCGATGAGCCCGGCCTTGGCCGACGTGTCCTTGTCGAACCGCGACAGGAAGGCGTGCGTGGCTGCAGGCGCGGAAGAGAGAGAGAGAAAGAGTCAGACGACGGGCTCGAGCGCGAGGAAGAGAGCAAGGGACGCACCCTTGAGGTCGTCACCGACAGCGCCGCCGTCCTTCTTGGTCGGCGCGAGCCGCACAGGCACAAAGCTCGGGTCGAGGCCCGTCAGGCGCATCTTGTCGGCGCGCTCGTCCCGCTCGCGGTCGCCGACCTGGCCGACCCAGCATCCGAGCTGCTCGGTCGTACCGGCCTCCTCGAGCTCGTGCGGCCGCAGGTCGTGCCAGTCGACGACGGCGACCGACGTCGCGGCGCCGAACCGCGCCATGTCAAAGATGGTCGACACCGGGTGCTGCGTCGTGTCGGTCGAGCGGTCCTTGGGCAGGAGGAACGGGTGCGAGATCGGGATGCGCGACAGGGCCGACGACAGGTGCGTGAGGTGGTACAGGTTCATCGTCTGCTCGGCTGCAGAAGGAGGGAAAAGGTCAGACTCGATCCGGGGGGAACGAGCGCTCGACGAGAGGGAGAGACGGACCAAAGTCGCCGTGAGGAGGGCTGATGAGGTACCGTGCGTCGGTGCTCAGCTCGTCGCGGAACGAGTCGTGCTTGCGGACAGCTCGCTGCTTGGCCTGCGCGTGAGGGGGGAAAGAGGCTCGAGGTCAGGTCGAGTCGAGGAGGACGAGGGAGAGGGAGGAGGAACGGGCGACGCACGACGTGAGGCGGTGTCGGGGCCAAGCTCGCCGCGAGGATCTGCTCTCGGCGCTGCATGTGCTTGACGATGGGGCTCTTGCCCCTCGAGCTGCCCCACAGGATGACGACGAGGACGAGGCACGCCAGCGTGCCCGCGCCGACCGCGACCTGGTGCATCGTCAAGCTCTTGTCGGTCGCCGCCTTTTTGCGCAACCGGGCCATCTCCTGCCCCTTGTCGCGCCACTGGAGCGGGCGGCCCTCGAACGTCGCGTTGGGCGCGCCGGCGAGCGTCGACTTGTACTCGCGCGCCTGCTTGATCGACGACGACTTGCTGTAGAAGCCGCCCTTGGCGCCCGACGACGGTGGAGGGAGGTCCTTGGGCGGCGGGGATGGCGGAGGCGAGTAGGCGGCAGAGGTGACGGTCGGGAAGGCAAAGTCGGGCTCGGGCGTCACCTTGCGGACGGCGGCGACGGCTGCTGGCGGTGACGGCGGCGGCATGTCGAAGCGGATGTCGAGGTCCGAGGCGTCGTGGACGGGAGCTGGGCGACGAGCGCGAGGGCCGTCGCCGGAGGTGCTCGCAGGTGGGGAGACCCGGCGCGAGGTCGTGGTCGACGAGCTGGGCATGACGAACGAGGCGTCGCCCTGGAGGGTGAAGTCGGACGCCGGGCTACGGTGACGACCTGCGGCCATAGCTGTCGAGTGTCGAGGTGCAGAGCGGTGGTGTCGAGGAAAGAGAGGGGAGGTCGAAGTCGAAGTCGGAGAGGCGGGACGACGACGACGTTGACGAGCACTCTGCGCCTTTGCCCGCCCGGACAAGGGAAGGGCTGGCAAGCGTCGAGCCTGGATTTCAATCGCGCCGGCCCGCCCTCCTCTCACCGCGCTGAGTGCGACGGCGGGTCGAACTCGCCGCGAGAGGAAGGAGGCGGGTGTGTGTCTCCCCCTGGCGAGCTCTGCAGCAGCCGAGGCTTGCGCCGAGCCGGCAGCGAGTGCGCATGCACGTGCACCAAGTACGCGCGCACAGCGAGAGCGCACGACGAGCTCAAGCTGGGAGCTGTGTAAGCCGTGGAGGGAGCAGAAGGTGAGCTGCGCGAGTCTGAATCGAGTTTGGCAAAGTCGCTGGCTCGCGGGGAGGCGGGCCGGCGGCGTGATCGAGGCTGGACCGCGCCGACTCCGCCGTGAGAACCGACGCTCTCGCTCAACGCTCCCACACCGCTCGCTCACCCGCCAGCAGCAGCAGCAGCAGCAGCAGCAGCACGCACCAGCTCGACCTGCGCCAGCCATGTCGCACATGAGGCGGCGGTCGTCGCACATGGGCCCGAGCCCGGACGAGCCTCGCGCTTCCCCCATCGTCGGTCGGACACCTCGACTCGGCACCGGCGTTGGCAGCACGACGGGCACGAGCACGCGGGTACCGCCCTCGCCCTCGCTCGGGTTCGGCGGTGCGGGCACCCTCCGCAGCGCACAGCGCGACCCGAACCAGGCGCCGACGGCGCAAGAGGTCGTCGGCCGCATCGCCTCGGTCCTCCTGCGCGTCCTCCGCACGCCCCGGGCCTTGACGGCGCTCGTGTGGCTCACCCTCATGTGGGTCGCGAGTAGCTACGTGCGCGAGAACGCCCACCACCTGTCGCAGCGGCCCGTCCACCCTCGCCTCCTCCCGCTCATCCGACACTCGGGCACCGCCCTCGAGTACCTCTCGCCCGACCTCGGCGGCCGCGTCAAGTCGTGGCACGACGACCAGGTCAAGAACGACCCGAACCGCCCGCTCACTGCCGCCGAGCTCGAGGCCGCGTCGCGCCACACGTTCCACCCGAACGGCCTCCTCCTCGTCAACCCGAAAGGGCGGCACCCGATCCACCTCTTGATCGAGGACGCCGAGCGCAAGTGGAAGGACAAGGTCGCGCGCCAGAGCAAGACGCTCGGCGAGGCCGTTCGCGAGTACAAGCGCCGGCACCGCCGCAACCCGCCAAAGGGCTTTGACGACTGGTGCGCCCCGCTCTCTGTCTCTCTCTCTGCCGTGCTCGTCCGCCTCGAGACCTGACGGCTACGTCGTGCGCGACAGGTGGGCTTTCTGCGAGGAGCACAACATCCAGCTGCGCGACGAGTACGACCAGATCAACCACGACCTCGCACCTCATTGGGCCCTGTGCGTCCCCTCTCTTCTCTCGCGCCCTCTCGCACCTCAACCCAGTCCCCGCCGAGACTGACACGCACACTCTGCAGCGAGGCGCACGACTCGCGGCACCGCAACAAGGTCATGCAGGAGCGCGACCACACGTTCACGGTCGCGATGCACCCGGGCGAGACCATGCCGACGCTGCACGGCCCGTACTGGGACCTCAAGCGCGCGACCGACATTGCCGACATGCTGTCGCTGTACACGGGCCGCATGCCTCGCCCGCTCAACATCACCTACATCATCGACGACAACCCGGCCGTCATGCTGCCGTACTCGCAGCGCGAGCGCATGGTCGAGCTTGGCGAGCAGGGCGAGTGTGCGTCCCCTTTTCTCTCTCTCTCTCTCTTGCATGTCGGCGACTCGACGGCGTGGTGCGACAGACCGACTCACCTCTCGTCCTCCCCCTCCTCCTCTCGCGCACGTCCCGCTCCCGCAGACTACGGCCCGTCCGAGTTCATCGAGGGCGAGGACCCGACCCTGTCCAACTTTGCGCAAGCCTGTGCGCCCAACTCGCCCTTGCGGCGCGCCGAGCGCGGCGAGTACACGCCCGACTACTCGGGCGACAGCGTGCGCTCGTTCGTGTGGAACCACGCCAAGACGACCGACCTGTGCCTGCACCCCGAGGCGCGCAAGCTGCACGGCCACACGATGCAGCAGGGCGTCCCGCTCGGCCCGATCGTGCCCCTGTTTGCGTTCGCAAAGACCAAGCTCCACTCGGACATTCTCACGACCCCGATCGAGCAGTGGGAGGCGCACTATGTCGGCTACGAGCCACCTTGGTCGGGCAAGAGCATGAACAAGCTCCTCTGGCGAGGTGCGTCCCTCTCTCTCTCTCTCTCTCGTGACGCGCGTTCGAGGAGGAGGAGGACAAGGTCCCTGACTGGTTCCCCCTCGTCGCGCGCAGGGTCGACGACCGGCGTCGAGTTCAACCGCCACACGCCGTGGCGCAAGTCGCAGCGCGCGCGCATCCACATCATGTCGCACGAGACCGAGGGCGAGCGGCACGTCATCTGGTCGCAGCGCGGCCAGCTGCGCGACGCCAACGTGTCGACGGCCGTCCTCAACGACCTGTACATGGACACGAGCTTTGCGGGCGCGCTCCAGCAGTGCGACGCCGAGACGTGCGAGATCCTCGAGAAGCAGTTCGACATCAAGCCGACCATCGGGCTCGACGAGTCCAACACGGTGCGTCCCTCCCCTCGCTCGGTCCCCTCCTCTTTTGCCTTGCCTCCCCGTCTCGCGCGCCCTGTCGTCGACCGACCGAGAGCGACACTGACTCGCCTCGCCCTGCTTCACCTCGCAGTACAAGTACATGTTCGACGTCGACGGCAACGGCTGGTCGGGCCGGTTCCACCGCCTCATGTCGATGCGCTCGGCCGTGCTCAAGTCGACCGTCTTTCCCGAGTGGTACCAGGACCGCGTCCAAGAATGGGTACAGTGCGTCGCCCCCTCGCTCTCTCGTCCTCGCCGTTGTCGAGGGAGAGCACGCCTGACCGCCTCGAGCCCACCTCCCCTCACGTCCTGCGTCCTCGTCACCGTGTCCCCCCCTCGGCGCAGCTACATCCCGGTCAAGGTCGACTACAGCGACGTGTACGACATCATGGCGTTCTTTGTCGGCATGCCCGACGGCTCGGGCGGGCACGACTCGCTCGGGGAAAAGATTGGCCAGGCGGGCAAGGACTGGGCGAGGGACTTTTGGCGGTACGAGGACATGGCGTGCGTCTCGCGCGCTCTCTCTCTCTCTCTCTCTCTCGGTCACCTCCTCGCGTGTCCTGTTCTCCCCCTCGCCCTCGCGCGCTGTTCCCCTCTTCCTCCTCCCGCCGCCCGCCTCGTTTCTCTCTCCCCCTCTCGAGCCCGCTCTCCCGCCACCCCTCACTGACCCACCCACCCCGGCACACCCCCCGCAGCGCCTACATGTACCGCCTCAGCCTCGAGTACTCGCGCATCTTGCACCACGACGAGGGCGACGTCGACTATGTCGAGATGCCCGACTTTAACTTTGACTAGCGGCTCGAGGGCGTGCTCTTCAACCCCGTTCCCTCTCTCTCTCTCTCTCTCACGCGCGCGAGGAGGAGGGGCAGGAGCGGGCGCCTCGATGGATGTCTCTCTGTCTCTCTCTCCTCCCTTCTCCGCCTCGACCTCCCTCTCGCCCTCTCTCTCTCTCACATGCTCAGCCACCCCTCTCTCATCCGTTCGCATCCACATTCATGAGTCCGTTCCCTTGCATTGCGTACCGTCGTCTTTCCCTTGTCCTAGGCGCTGGCGCGAGAGAGGGAGAGCGAGAGAGGGAAGAAGGGGACCGAGCGGCTGGTGAACGAGGTGGGTCGGGCGACTGGAGGCTTTCTCTCTCTCTCTCTATCGGCCGTGCTCTCGACGTGCTCGCGCGGGACAGGACAGAGCGAGCCAAGTGCGTCTTGCAGCTCGATCTGCTGCGCCCTCGCCCGGACCTCGTTCTCGCCCTCGAGCGCCCGCCTCGCCATCGCGCTCGCGCTCGCCCTCACGCGCGTCGTGTCACCCCTTCCACGCGTACCGCGCCATGCTCACCCTCCCACCGCCGTCGACCCTCTCGCCGAGCCCGAACGCATCGCCGTGCTCTCGCCCGCCGCCGTCCCCTCCTGCTCCTGCTCCACCTGCCCCTCTCGCTCTCGCTCTCGCTCCCCCTCGCCCAGCCCCTCCACCCGCCCCACCCTCCCCCTCCCCCGCCCCGTCGTCCCCACCCGCCCCAACGCCAGCCCCAGCACCGCGCCCAACCTCGACCCCCTCAGCCTCGAGCCACTCGGCCTGGCGCCTCGTCGCGGCCGGGTTGCCTCGGGGCGAGATGAGGCCCGACGAGGACACGACGCGGTGCCAGGGGACCCAGGAGGGGTTGGGTGGCGGTGGGGGGAGGGGCTGGGCGAGGGGGAGGGAGAGCGAGAGCGAGAGGGGCAGGTGGAGCCGGAGCAGGAGGGGACGGCGGCGGGCGAGAGCACGGCGATGCGTTCGGGCTCGGGGAGAGGGTCGAAGGCGGTGGGAGGGTGAGCATGGCGCGGTTCGCGTGGAAGGGGTGACACGACGCGCGTGACGGCGAGCGCGAGCGCGATGTGGGGACGCGTGATATATAT